ATCTTATTTGCAAGTTCAACATCAAAAAAAAGAAAGAAGGTATTTCATGTTTTGTTTTGGGTTTTTTCTTCTGGTTTGCAATTAAAGGGTTAGTTCACCCCAAAAATGAAAATTCTGTCAGTAATTACTCACCCTCATGTTGTTCCAACCCCGTAAGACGTTTGTTCATCTTCGGAACACAAATTAAGATATTTTTGATTTGTGATATTTCACGTAGTGATATTGCGCAAAGCTTCTAGGTTGCACGTCACACGCAGGCTCACTATTGGACGACGCTGGTCATGTGTGTGATGCGTGACGTACAACCTAGAAGCTTTGCGCAGTTCCACCACGTGAAATATCAGGCCCACAGAGAAGGAAATGATTAGTTGAATAAAGTCGTTATTTTTGTTTGTTTGTTGCGCACAAAAAGTATTCTCGTTGCTTGATAAACTTAAGGTTGAGCCACTGCAGTCACTCGGACTATTTTAACAATGTCTTTCATAACTTTTGGGCTGGTCAGTTTCGATCTCTTAAGAAGCCTATGGAGGAGTGATCCAGCTGTCAGATTTAATCAAAAATATCTTAATTTGTGTTCCGAAGATGAGCGAACGTCTTACGGGGTTGGAACAACATGAGGGCGAGTAATTACTGACAGAATTTTCATTTTTGGGTGAACTAACCCTTTAATTGACTCTTTTTTTTTATTCTATTTAATTTTTTTTTTACTGGTTTGACAAACCAAATTTTATTTCCTGATTTGGTACATTTGAGTCTGGCTCGATTTACACCTGGTATTAACAACCTTTTTGGGGATACAATCACAAGTGGACTGTCGAGACGGAAAAGCAAATACTGTAGACACACTGTTGCTTCCAGTTATATTTTTAAAACATGTGTTGTTAGACAAACCAGAGATGCTCTGTGAATTTTTTCAGCATCATTGTCACATAATCCTTCATAATTCATTATAATATGCTGATTTGCTGCTCAAGAAACATTTCTTATTATTATCAAAGTATTTTTGTGGAAACTGTTATACTTTTTTAAGCTTCTTTGATGAATAAAAGAACAGCATTTATTTGAAATGGAAAGTATTTTTGCAACAATAAAAGTTTTTGCTGTCACTTTTTATTAATATAATGTCCTTTAATGCGTCCTAAATTATACGCCATCTCTATAATACAAATATTATATACACTGTTCTAGATTATTCATAATCTATTCATATCACTAGAGTGTCACATTTGTGAATGCATTTAAACTAAATTGTTTCTCTTTTTCCTGGACGTTAGGGTGTTCGGCTTCCCTGTCCATTACACAGACGTGTCAAACATGAGTCGTCTGGCCAGGCAGAGGCTGCTGGGAAGGTCTTGGAGCGTCCCGGTCATCCGTCACTTGTTTGCACCACTCAAAGAGTACTTTGCCTGCGTCTGAACTCAAACCCAGTACAGATGAGAAAAATCGAAACCGATGTAATACCAAGAGCTTCAAAACCGAGCTCTCGTATCTTATTTGCAAGTTCGACATCAAAAAAAAAAAGAAAGAAGGTATTTCATGTTTTGTTTTGGGTTTTTTCTTCTGGTTTGGAATTAATTGACTCTTTTTTTTATTCTATTTAATTTTTTTTTATTATCCATTTTACTTTTTAGCAGTGTTATCCAGTATTTGAATTGATTTATGTGTGCAAGCTATACTTGAGGCACAGCCTCCTTTTAAGGCACTGAGAGACGGTTACAATTCGAGGCAGAAATGAGGAATTCGATGAGACGGAAATAGCATTTAAGTTCGCTCAATCATTTCGACTCTTGAGTTTTTCGACTATCGACTAATTCTCACGGTGCGCGTCTTTCCTCTCCTCCAGCGTCTGAGCCTTGGTGAGAGCGGGAAAAAGGCTTCCTTTCAGTGTCAGGGGAGCTTTGTCTTAACCAATCCAAAACACCAGATCACAAATACCTCTTTGTTTACAGTTTCTATATACACAACTGAAGGTAATAAAGGTACTACTGTAATAGGTGACAATATGGTGCTTCAAGGTGGTGAAAAACATTGCAACTCATGTGGTGCTACTTCTCAAACAAGATCATGGGGTCATGTTTTGTAGTGTCGCCAGGTTAAACGAATGACTGAAACTTAGAAGAAAAAAAAAACAGATCAAGCCAGGTCTGCCACATCTCATTTTATATCTTTTACAGCCATTTTGTACAATATTCTCTGGTGCTCTTTTCAGAAACAAACAAACAAAAAAAAAAAACACACCTCAGCCTTTCAATCTTTGAGGTCTGCTTCCTTCAGTATGCCTGCAATCTGAACGCATGGAACCAGCCACATGGGCGGTGATGTTTTTGTCATCTATACCTTGAAATCAAAGGCTGTGGTGAGCTACTTTTTTTCTAGTGTCACCCAGACCAGAATCATTACTGTACAACTTTTGGCGTGCGTGGCGGCCACAGGGAGGATGGTGTCGGTCCTTAGTCGGCCAGGTGAACCTTCAACCTTCAACTGTGGTGCCCGCATGCTATTCTCAGTCAGGTGCATATCTTTAAAGGTGCGGCTTCACAATGCTCTTCTACCTTTTTATAGCAATTTTTTGTGCTGTGTTACCAACAATATCGAGCACTTTTGTATTTGTATACTTCCTTATTTCTTTGATATTGTTTTTTTTTATCTTTCTCCTTGATTTTTGTGAAATGCCCTTTTTTTTGGTTCTGTTAAATGATGTGAAACTCTTGCCGTTATATAAGGTAATACTTTGTTGTGTACAGTAGGGCTGTGCCAATAGATGTGAACGAATGAGCTAGGATAGAATAAATCCATCTGTCGTGCCGGTGGTGAAGGGGCCGAATTCGAATAGCACCCCTCTCATGTTTTCATGTGCTACGGAGTCGCTTTATCATAACTCGCGTCGAGAAAGTGTCTGCTCACAGTTCTTACTGCTATATAATCCCAAAGTGAGTGTGTTTGTTAAATATCCCTGTAGGAAAAGTAGTCGGATGGGGTGTCTGTGTATGACATCGCACGGTCGTTAACTACGTCTGGTCCCTAGCGTAGATCTGAAAACATTATTATGTTTGCAAATGGTGAATGTTGACCATGTCAATAATTTAGTTATCACGCAAGCTATATAGCCTAAATTTGTGAATTTGGTTAGAAACGGGCTCTAATGAAAACCTTGTTAGGCTCTTTTTTATTTAAGGCATTGCACTGCTTACATACCTTAACATTTGTCATGTTCAGCAAAGTTTCTTCTTTTATTTTCCAAATTTTATCGATGCCCAGATTTTTTTCTTTTTGTACATTTTGTACATAGAAATTGTCTGTTGCTTTTTTTTTTTTAAAAGACCTATGAGATGTACAAATATAATTATTTGCTAATATATATCATAGAATCAAAACAGCACTAAAATCGCAAGAGGGGGGTAATTGACAAAATGGCAACTGGCTAATTGACATAAGCTATAAAGCAGCAGGGTGTATTTTGTAATTCATATTTATATGTGTCGAACGGGGGATAAAACTAAAGAATGAGTTCGCTAAGTGATTTTAACTGTCCCATCTTTACTGCACAGCCCTACATACAAAAGTGTGTCTCAATTAGCTTTTTAATAAATTTTTTTAAGTACTAAGAGAGGGATTGTAGGTGTTTCCTAAGGTGCTAAACGTTTTATCTAATTGAGAAAAATATATTATTTGGAAAAGAATTAAACTTGTCTTGATAATGATTTTTTTTTTTTTCTCCGTTTGTTTCTTGTAGTATTGGAGAAGCACTATTATTTTACTCTCTCATATAAAGATATTAACAAAGGCATTTTAACTTTGTACTTGAAAAAATGATGAAAGATTCTTATATTGTTTTAGAATAGACATTGCTGTAGTTGGTGCTTATCTGTGGGAAATCATGTACTCATAATGGGAAATAAAAAAAAATTGTAATAAATTTTGCTGTTAACATGTACTTGCTTAATATCCAGGCAGAATTGCTTCTAAGTCCTACATTCCATGCCATATATCCAGCCCTCCATCCTCTTTTGTTTCAAAGTTTTCAATTTTTATTTCTTCTCTGTTTTGTTCAATTTAATTTGCTTTATTTGGGTATATATATATATATATATATATATATGGCTGTAACAGCCTCTTGTTTGCTCTCATAACAGGTTTTCTGTATATCTCAGTGACACTGTTGATATTTGTGACCTCTGTTGTATCATATAAACTTTTTTCAGGCCTTCTCTTCTTTTGCAATCAGCTCATACAGCAAATGTAGCAATCATTCGCCACCTCTCCCCCTTTCTTTCGTTATGTGCCCAGAACGAAGAAAAAAAGGCTCCTTATGTACTTGTGCTGGAGAACACTTGAATAAATGTATTGTTTTTTTTGTGAAAAAATTGTTTGTTTTTCTTACAAGTATTTACCATATAATACTCAAATGATTACATTATTAGTTTAATTTATAAAATGTATATCTATGGTTTCAATATAATATTCTGGAAAGAAATGGTATAATATAGTATATATTGTAACATTTATGTGGACAATTTATTTATATTCGTCCATGTACATATTAGATTAGTAATAGTAGGCCTATATTTTGTTAATGTTGATATTTTTATAATACAGTATGGTATTTCTGCTTTTTCTGTAACTCTTTGTATATATTTATATTATGTGTAATAGTAATTTGCATTTTTTATATTTATGTATATTTTAATATTTTTTTATAAGGACACATGTATAAAATATTGTAATATTTGTTAATATTTTTCTGTTATTTTAGTTTTACATACATCTATATTTATATATAATACTTTATATTTGTTTGTTTTTTTATATTGATGTATAATGTATTTACATAAAACTTGCACGGTTGCCACATTGGCATAATGATCCAGTTCCATCCCCTGTGAATCTGTATAAATGGTACGTACCACTCGCGACAGGACACGCCTATATTGCAACGCCATTGGCCGCTGCTGAGCCCATCGCCGTGTATCTCGCCTGTGATTGGTCAACGCCCGGCTCTCACTGTCTGGATGCTGCTGCAAGCGTACGGTTTACCTTACCGGGCTGGACCAACCGAAGCATCTGCCTGTGTGTCTGCCTGCCCGTCTAACAGGCTTTATTGTTCCCCAGCGCTGAAAGTGAAGGAAAATCTCTTTTTAAGGATATAACAAAGGAAGTAAGTGCACTATGCCGCGCTATTTTCCATTTATTTGTAAGCTATTTTAAGAAATTCCTCACTGGGACTAGCACAGTGATATATTGCTCGACTCGGAATCGTGTAATTTTGTGGTATGGAAAGAATTCCCCAGTCTTGTGTCTCGTGTTTTGTCTTATATAATTCCTAATGTGAGTTGTTAATGGTTTCATTATCGATTGAACGATACAAATCTAACGTTAGTCGATCAACGTGAATGTCGTGTGTCCATAAACAGCGCGACCCCACCAGCAATAAACACTATTAAACGCGAGCTCACACCCGATATCTGATATTTCCGTTATGAAGCCGTTGTAATATCCTTCATGTTGCCATTCCATGGTACCTTGAGTTGAGACATATTGAGTATGTTGTGTGGAGTAAGGGCTTGGTCGCCCCTTTGTGTGACACCCTCGATAAGGTCCAAATGGGATGAGTCTACATCATCACCGACATCATCACCAGCTTCTAAATGAAGCCTCGTGCATCCATCTACTTATCAGAAGACATTATCGATGCACTGCATTGCACGAATATGCATGTGTACATTACATATGTTCATAAAATACATGTTGTCCTCATGTTTACACTTCACGTGACTTTGCATGCTTCTCTGAAAAACAAAGTATTTGCGCACTGGATCTAACAGACATTTTACTGTATTTTTTTCCTTGTATGTGGTATTTTTCATTCTGTTTGTTTGTTTTATTTTTATTCCATTCCATTCATTTTTCACACTCATTTTTTTACATGTATTCCATTCCATTCCATTCATTTCTTCAATTTTCCAATACCACAATGAAAAATATTATATATACACAATATTTAGATAATAGCACTGATTATTTATGCTCTAATGGTTCAAATCACAATAAATGTCCAGCCCAATCCATTTTGTTGAATGAAAGTTACTTCCACAAGACAGATCAGAAGTTTTCATCTACTTCATATTACCCAGAAGAGTGCCATCTGGATCTCATGGAATATGGCACGGTTCAAAAGTGGGTCATTCCTGAGGAAGGCCTCCATGAGTCATGGCGAAAGAACAAATGCTCCAATCATTTTTCTTCGGGCTGTGCTGTGAGGACAGGACAGATGTAGCTCATGCACAGTACTGTTTCTTTTTATAGTAGGATGTCTGAGGACACACCCTTATTCTCCAGCTCCATAGTAGCCCCTCCTCGCACACACACATACACACCATCAGGGGCAGAGGGTGGAGGGGAACCCTGGGCAGCGCCATACTGTGAATATGCCGCACCCACCTGCCCCCCGACTCACTTTGCAGCATAGAATCGCATGCATGCTTTCACTTGGGATTAGATCATAAGAAAGTGCAGTGCTGCAGGGAATGTGCTGCAACAGCTGCTAGCCTACATACATTTCCTGCTAACAATCCCACATCCCTGGGCATGCAACGCTGGAAAATCTGGGTCACAATTGCTCTGATCATTTCTGAGAATTTAATATGATTTACTACACACTTAGTGTTTTGGATATTGAGGTTTTGTTGATTCAACATTTCTGGAAATGTTGTTGCAGCGCTGAAATTGCTTTAATGTGTCATGAATAATTAATATGTTCACATGTAATTAACATGTTAAGAGCCGGAGACGATAATGTGACTACTCATGCCAAGCTGACGATAATCACACATGTTGGTGTCAGTTTACCCGCTTAAGTGAGGTTCTAGAATGGCGTAATGGTTTGTAACCTCTTTAAACTAATGTTGTGGAACATTTGGGCTATGCTATGCATGATTGATCTTGTTTGGACGTCAAGTAAGGATACAGTTGGTTTCCATAGCTCAAATGTGGAAAAATAGATTAGCGCAAGCAGGTCTTCGTTGAGACATGTGATGTTATTTCAAAAGTATAGGGCCTATATTAAACAGGGTTCCCACTTCCCACGGTCATATGAAAGTAAAGTAGTGTAGTGTGTATATCCAAAAGTTTGGGGTCTGTAAGATTTTTTGGATGTTTTTGAAAGAAGTCTCTTATGCTCATCGAGGATGCATTTATTTGATCGAAAATATAGTAAAAACAGTAATACTATTACAATTCAAAATAATTGTTTTCTGTTTTAATACGTTTTGAAATTTAATTTATTTGTGTGATTCCAGTCTTCAGTATCATGTGATCCTTCAGAAATCATTCTAATAGGCTGATTTGGTGCTCAATGTTGAAAACGGTTGTGCTGCTTAATGGTCAAAAGGTGTGGAGACTCTATATAAAGTAGAGTTATATAATACACATCAACACTCTGTTCTTTGATTCTTTTAGGTTGAACCATGTCTTCCAGCTCAGCAACGGTGCGCATCCTCATAAAGGGAGGTAAAGTGGTGAACGATGACTTCACACAAGAAGCAGATGTGTACATCGAGAATGGGATTATCCAGCAGGTTGGCAAGGAGCTGATGATCCCAGGTGGAGCCAAGGTTATAGATGCCACAGGAAAGCTGGTGCTTCCGGGTGGCATTGACACCAGTGTTCACCTGAACGAGAGCTTCATGAACGCCTGTACAGCGGATGACTTCTACAGCGGCACCAAGGTACTACCAACTGACTATTAAAGTCAGGATGAACTCAAAATTGACATACGTTCATAATACATGTTATTGGTCTTATTGGGAATTATTTATCAGTGCATGTCATACCAAAGAAAAAAAAACTGTTTTCTTGCTCCGCCTCTAAACAACATCATCAAGACCTCAGTCTTTTCACAATCCATTCAATTCCCAGTGGACAAAATCAAGTCCCACCCTGCTTTTGTTTCTCTTAAATATCCTGTTTCACTTGGAAATATGTCACATTATAGAAGGAAAATACTGATTTATGTTGCTTATGCTCTGAATATTGTGATTCCCCACTAAAATAAAATAATATCTCAGCATTACTTCATTATTTTAAATAAGCATTCAGTTTTATACAGTTTTAAAGTAATTTATCTAATCAGACACCAGCTCCCTATTTCTGTGCCATATTTGTGGCCTAGCAGTTAGTACATGCTCTAAGTGCCATGGTGCTCATGTGGGTAATGTAGGTTTGAATCGGGCTTGCACCAAAATCATTTTCTTTTCCATCTCATCTATCACTAAAAACAGGGGGGAATAGATATTGTGGGAATTTGTGGCCATAGATTAAGAATTTGTAATTGATAATTTGTGGCCACATTTTATTAATTTGTTACCTAATTTTAATTCAGTTGCATCATGGCTACGATTTACAGAAAGTAAGGGAGAGAATTAATAAGTTGTTGGAACGAATTCTTAATTCATGGCCACAATACATTGTATTTTCCCCCTACATGTCATGTGCGGGGCACCGCACATTGGTTTTTATTTTTTTCATACATTAGTTCAATCTAATATAAAGAAACGCAGGTGATTGAAATGGCTTCAGGCTTCGTAGTTTTGTCACTTCTAAGATGAAATAACATGTGGTTCCACTTCCAATTGGGACATATAGAGAGAAAGTAGAAGCAAAAGATCGATTTTTAGACTTTGGACCCCCCCACACGTTGAGTGGCCCCCACCATCTGCCAGGGGCCTTTTATCTCACAACAACTCAATAAGTTCTTCTCAAAAGTGACTTGTATGGAAGAACTGCTAATAGTACTACTAATAGAGTCTTTTTTTTTTAAATGTGTAAAATGTTTTAAATATTGTTTTGATTTTCCTTTCATTATATGATGTATTTTAGCAGTATGCGTGTGACATAACATCCATTTAACGTCACATTCATTTGTTCATGTTTTATAAATACTTTAAAAGCAGAGATGTGCTCGCTTCAGCTGCCCTGCCTAAATAAATCCCATGGGTCACTTAGCAGACACTGAGATGCAAGAGTGAGCATTGAACACTCACAGTCTGCCTCCATCAACCGCAAGGCACGATTCACCATCACAAATACATACACGCTCTTATTCAGAGAGTGCTGCAGGCTCTGAGATGACAAATAAAGAGTTGTTATCGTCACTGTTATTGTTAGCCTTGGCAACACAAGTGGCATTCTCTTCCCCCTCCCCCCCGCTTACCGCCATAAGACTCGCCAGGCGCAGAGACAAATGGAGATCAGATTGTGTTTCCATAGATACTGGAGCACTGCTGCAAAGACTGCTGCAAAAGCCTTTCACTCGTGCCATTGTGCTAGAAAACAATGGTGCACAAATACACGCCCCTTCAGTGGATCTGGCTGCCCGGCATGTGTCATCTTAAAGATGCTTGTAAAGAGGACCATTTTTATGGTTGAATTACTATTTATCATAGTTTTCTTGTACTGAGAAAAAGCTTTCTACTAATTGTGGATTTTCCTGTAAAATATTAGGGTCAGACAGACAGATAAAGTGGGATATTATATTGGTGGCATTTGCTAAGGCATTATGAGCAATTAATATTATTATTTTACATTTACATTTATTCATTTAGCTGACGCTTTTATCCAAAGCGACTTACAATTGCTATATATGTCAGAGGTTGCACGCCTCTGGAGCAACTAGGGGTTAAGTGTCTTGCTCAGGGACACATTGGTGTCTCGCAGTGGATTTGAACCTGGGTCTCTCACACCAAAGGCATGTGTCTTATCCACTGCGCCATCACCACCCCAGTGAACCCACAATTTTTAGAACCCACACTGTCTTTGTTACAGACTTAACAAGGTCTTTCAACAATAATTGTATCAACCAATAATTATAATAATATTATAATTAAGCATAATGCATAATTGGTTTATGAGCAATTACTATTATTATTTTAGAACCCACACTGTAATCCCCTACCAACAATCAGAGCATCTCAGCAACCACCAGAACGCGATAGTAATGCCCTTAATGCCCTAGAAACCATCCAAACACCTTAGCAGCAATCAGATCTTCCTAGCAACCACCATAACAGCCTAGCAAACAGCCTTGCAATGCCCTGGCAACCACCAGAAGACCCTAGCAACAATCCGAGCATCCCAGCAGCCACCAGAACACCCTAGTAAAGTTCATAATGCCCTAGAAACCACTAGAACACCCTTCTGTAGCAACAATAGCATCCCAGCAACCACCAGAACACAGTAAAATCAGCCTTACAATTCCCTAGCAACCACCAGATCACCTCTAGCAAAGACCTAGAAACAACCAGTACATCCTAACAACTAGAAGAATAGCCTAGCAATTTCCCATCTATCACCACATCACCCTAGCAATACCTTAACAACAGCCTAGCATTTCAATTGGATCAATCAGATCAACCCAGAACACACTAGTAATGTCTATAATGTCCTAGAAACAACCAGAGCACACTAGCAACAACCACAACATCCTAGCAACTACTAGAATAGCCTAGCAATTGCCCATCTATCACCACATCTCCCTAGCAATGACACAGAAACAATCATAACATCCTAGCAACTCTCTAGCAACCACCCAAAACACTCTAACGATGCCTTAGTAATAACCAGAACATAATTTAAATGCCTAGCAACCACCCAGAACACCTTAAACCATCCTATCAATTCCTAAGCCACCACCCTTACAACAATCAGAGCATCCTAGCAACCTCCAGAACACCTTACAGTTTAGCAACAAACAAATTATCCTAGGAGTGACCTAACAATCACCAAAACATGCTAGTAACACCCTCACAATCACTCAAAACACCCTATCAATGCTTTAGTAATTACCAAAAATTCTTTAAATGCCTAACAACCTCACAGAACACCCAAACAGCACCGCTTTGCCATAGCAACCAGCAGAACACCTTAAATCAGCATAAGAATTCCCTAACAATAATCAGAGCATCATAGCAACCACCAGAACATTAAACAGATTAGCAGTTCCATAGCAACTACTGGATCACCCTAGCAATGACCTAAAAACAATCAGAACATCCTAGAAACCACCAAACCGATGACTTATCAATCACCAAAACATCCTAGCAACACTCTAGCAACCACCCACAATACCCTACCAATGCTTTAGTAATGACCAGAACATTCTTTAAATCCCTAGCAATCTCCCGTAGCAACCAGCAGAACACCTTAAATCAGCCAAATTAGCAATTAACAGATTAGCAATTCCTTTGCATCAACTGGATCACCATAGAAATGACCTAGAAACAATCAGAACATCTTAGTTAGCAACCACCAAAACACCCCAGCAATGACCTAGCAACACTCTAGCAACCACCCAGAATACCCTAGCAATGCCATAATCATAAACAGAACATCCTAGAAATGCCTAATAACCACCCAGAACAGACAAGAGACCATTCAGAATACCTTTGAATACAGTTCTCAAATACAAGTGTAATTTAACCTTGATTAATGTTTTATGTAATATTTCATTTCATGCAAAGCTTTTGTGATCATGTGCTATGTTATGATGCCAATAAACCAAGTGATTGGTATTGATGCTGCCAGTCTGTTGTTTTATTTCCAGGCTGCTCTGGCTGGAGGCACCACTATGGTGATTGGTCACGTGCTGCCAGAGAAGAATGAATCATTGGTGGATGCTTATGAACAGTGTCGCTCTCACGCTGATGCCAAGGCCTGCTGTGACTACGCTCTTCATGTTGGAGTGACCTGGTGGGGACCAAAGGTAGAGAGTCTGTGTTTGCTGAGTTTGAAACTTTGTATAACGACATGAACAGGAAAAATGTTCTAAAAGATTTACAGTCCTATTATAACTTTCGTCTTCATTCTGAGACTGATGTTCCTTTTGCATCACAGGTTAGGGCTCAAATGGAGACGCTGGTGCGGGACAAGGGGGTGAACTCCTTTCAGATGTTCATGGCGTATAAGGATGTGTACATGCTGAGGGACAGCGAGCTGTTCCAGGCCCTGCAGAACTGTAAAGACATCGGTGCTGTGGCCCGTGTCCATGCGGAGAATGGAGAGCTGGTTGCTGAGGTATGTACCACAGAAATAAGTTCTGCTCCATAACCTAGTGAGTTATACATAGGCAGCAACATCACATGATACCACAAATATCCCTCATAATAATCATGGCATAATGCTGTCTAGGTAAGATCATGTCCTTCTCCCTGCATAGTCGTGATATATCATGTTATCTCATGTTTTTATTGTATTTATTCACATAAGGGTGCCAGAGAAGCGTTGGATCTAGGTATTAGTGGACCGGAGGGCATTGAGATAAGCAGACCTGAGGAGGTAAAATAAACATTCAAATCCTGTAACCGTGAAATGGTTTTCCTTTAAGAAATTAGTCACGTTGCCTCTTTCTCTCCAGCTCCTTGTCTTTCCCGTCTCTGTATTGCATTTCCATGGATTATTAATACTTTCAAGCGTCTGTTTATCATTAGGTTTCACTGGTGACATTTGTGTTTTCTCACTTACCTTGGGAATTTTCCATGTACAGCTGGAAGCAGAGGCCGTCCACCGAGCCATCACCATCGCTAACAGAGTGAGTATGATGTACTTGAGTGTTGATGTATTCAAAATGATGTTGAAATTATTAACATTAAGCATTTTTAATTAATTTCAAATGTAAACTTGAAAACATTTTTTTGACAGCTCTTACTAAAACTATAATGCAATGATGTACTGTATGTACCACCATTCAAAAGTTTGGGATTAGACCGTAAAGTAATTTATAATGTTCTATTATCTGCTGTTCTTTTGAACTTTCTATTCATCAAAGAATCCTGAAAAAATGTTTCATGGTTTCCACAAAAAAATTAAGCAGCATGACAGTTTTCAACAGTTATGTTACTTGAGCACCAAATCACCAAACCAGCTTTGCCATTATAGGAATAAATTACATTTTAAAATATATTTAAGTAAAAAAAACTGTCATTTTAAATTGTAATAATATTTCACAATATTACAGTTTTTTTCTAGCCTGGTTAAAACCAGACCATTCTCAGTTGTAACTGAGTTATGGTCTGGCAAAGCGTCATAGTCAAATAATTTCCAGAGGGGCGTCACCAACGGACGTCGCGGATAGACCTAAAACCAATCAGAGCGATGAAGAAGATGACGTATGCAGAGCGGCGGAGAAACATCTCCGAGTGTTGTTCTTTGCTCGGTTTTTAACAAAAAGGAAACGTTCAAATCGCTTAAAACAGACGCGATAGCTGATTCGAACGAGTGATGTTCGACGGCGGCATCCATCTTTGTAATGTAGGCTACAAAATCTGCTTCAAAATCCCAGCGCTGTCGTCATCGTGTAAAGCCCGCCCCAACATTTCTGATTGGTGCCTCGATTTCGACGGATTGGAAATGGGCTTGAATGAGCTCTTTGCCAGACTAACTTTCAGAACAAATCTAAATTTGCCGGAAGTTGTCTGGGTTTTCCCAGGCTAGTTTTTTTCTGTATTTTTGATAAAATCAAATCAGCTTTGATGAGCATAAGACTCCTTTCAAAAACATGAATCAATCTTACCGACCCCAAACTTTTGAACAATAGTGCACTTGTTATTTCACAGCTAAAGCCAACATGTACAGTAACTATGTACATAAAGTAATTTGTACATGCTGTGTTAAACAGAATGTCTGGATGGCAGCGTGATTGACCCAGCATTACTCTGCGACAAAACATTACAGATTAATTGTTTTAAGATCTCTAAATGTGTTCATAATCAATGTTTCTGTTTTTGTCTCATAGGCCCATTGTCCCATATATCTTGTGAATGTGTCCAGCATGTCAGCAGGCGATGTTTTAGCATCGGCTAAAATGCAGGGTAAGAGCCAGGCAATGATGCTTAGTGCATCTTACTCACAAACCTTTATTTGAACTTCTATACAACACCTGAATCTTCATAAGTGAATGACATATGGTGACTCTGAAAACTGATATGTGAATGACCGGCAGGGAAAGTGGTGCATGGAGAGACCACCACTGCTCACGCTGTCTTAAATGGGATGCAGTACTACCACCAGGACTGGGCCCATGCAGCTGCTTTCGTCACTGTGCCACCGCTCAGACTTGACCCCAACACACCCAATTACTTGCTCAGCCTTCTGGGAAAGTAAGCGGATTCACTAATTGAGTAGCTTCATTTAGTCATATACCCATGCAGTCACATAAAAAGTCTTTTCGCTGTGATGTAGTGACACTCTGAACGTCTTGACATCGGACCACCGACCCTTCACCACTAAACAGAAGGCGATGGGCAAAGACGACTTCACTAAAATCCCTCACGGCGTTCCCGGGGTGCAGGACCGCATGAGCGTTATGTGGGAGCGGGGAGTGGTAGGTTCATTTCAAGACGGAAGCTACGCTGCTGACTAGCGTTGTTACATTACCAACATTTCTGTGGCCAGTGCTTGCGAAATTTGAAAATTTAGTTTTGATGCTGCAACTAAAATCGAATTTCCATTAATGACCTCCATTTGTTTGCATAAATATAAACAAATTAACATCAACCAGTGCCTGGTTGCATAATCGGACTAGTATAAGACTAGTATTACAAGTTAGTCACCCATGCAGGTGTATTGACTCACAGACAGGTCTCGATCACGCGATAATTTTTAAACAGTGCTGCTGCATCCAGGGAGAAGCGCTTGAATTTGGCACAGAATTCTCTGTTACAAAACCCACGTCTCTGTGATTTAAACTAGTATAAATCCAGATCAAACAGCGCTGACATTCTTAACAATACTAATGTGGAAAACAGGAGAAACATTGTGCCATAACGGTCCAGCTAGAAGGCTTTGGAATCCATAAATCACCAACATTTACCATGGATTTACTATAGTAACACTAACTGTAACCATGGTATTGTGGCGTATATATTATATTATAATATATTACAATGTATTACAGGAATAATGGAATATTACAGTAATATGTGTTTAGGCTACTTATTTTCATAACAAATACCCTAGTTTTATAACTAAACCTTATAACTTTTTATAGTCAAATTGATGAGCCATGCATGGTTTTACTTGATCTACATGATATATGGAAAAATAATGGTGAATGTTAATGATCAAAGTAAAGTAAAAAATCAAGGGCTGTAAGAGACATCAAGGACTGTCAGAACATTACATTTTTTATAACTAAATGTTAGTCATATCAAAGAGTAATTAATAATTGAATGATTAAATGTTTAATACATTTTGATTAAAAATTCATTTATGAAAAATGTATAATTAAGTGAATTATTACTTATCTTACAAAGTGACTGTTCGTTAAAGTTGACTGAGAGTTATCGTAAACCCCTTCCTTTATGGTTGTGGGCAATATTAGTAAAAAATGTATGCATGAATGAATACTTCGGAAATAGTACACCACGATGTGCCATTTCTATAATACTTGAACTAATGGGATAGTACGGATCGTATGCACATTAAGAGATAACCTAGGATTCTTAAAATCGGTCTTAAATGAGGCAGATAAAGTGGGTGAAAGTTATGTAACAATTAAGATTCATGATATTCATTAATATTCACACTTAGTATGCTGGTAGCTCATGAATATTAGTTACTGTACATTTGTGACTTTCTGTGATGGCAAAGCTGAATTTTCAGCATCATTACTCCTGTCTTCAGTTTCACATGATCCTTCTGAAATCATTCTTATATGCTCAAGTAAGAACAGCATTTATTTAAAATATGAATCTTTTGTAATATAAATTTAATTTAATCAATTGAATGCATCCTTGCTGAATAACAGTATTAATTTCTTTAAAAAAAATATTTTTGACGTAAAAAACTTATGAACGATAGTGTATACAAATAATATATAAATTATATAACAATATTATATAATTCATATTATAGGCAGAATGTTGCTGTACAAACCACAAAAAAAGACAAAAATCATGGAGAAGAAGGAAAATGACAGATGCATTAAAGTTTCAAATAAACCTTTTTTAGCTCATTCTATCTTTCTTTTTTTAATAGGTTGGAGGCAAGATGGATGAGAACCGTTTTGTTGCTGTCACAAGCTCCAATGCTGCAAAGATCTACAACCTTTACCCTAGGAAGGGCAGGATCATCCCTGGAGCTGATGCGGATGTGGTAGTCTGGGACCCTGAATCAACAAGGTATGCTGAATTATGGATTGAATTCAAATCAGCTGAGAACCCAATAACATTTATTTTACAATTCTATATCGTATAGCATTCATTGTAAAATGAAAGTACACTTATTTTTTACATGCTTTTGTCTGTCTTTAGGACCATCTCTGTGACCACTCAGTGTCAGGGTGGTGATGTAAATCTGTACGAGAACCTGCGCTGTCACGGCGTCCCCCTGGTAACCATCAGCCGCGGTCGCGTGGTCTATGAAAATGGCATCTTCACTTGTGCTGAGGGCTCAGGAAAGTTCTACCCTCTCCGAACCTTTCCTGACTACCTGTACAAGAAAATGGTGCAGCGGGAGAAGGTACTCAAAACACAATCATGTTTTTATGACAGTGTATTGCAGTGCCTCGACTGAGTTTGTTTGTGACCCTCTACCCTCAGTGTCAAGCACTCAAGGGGGTGGAGCGCACCCCGTACACTGGAGATGTAGCGGCAGTGCAAAATTCTGGGAAGAAGGAACTGGGCCCTGCAGATGGAGACATGAATCCACGACCCTGCACGCGCCACGGGGGAATGAGAGACCTACATGAGTCCAGCTTTAGTTTTTCTGGTACAGTAGTCTGCATTAAACCATACTGAAGACTGTAGGGGTAAATCTCTCTAAGAAATGTCATACTTCAAACCAAAATGAGTATATTGCATAAAGAAAAAGAAGCCTATTTTTAATTTGTATGACATTTTTGGCAGAACATTTTTACGTTTTTTTTGTTTTGTTTTTTGCTTTTGGCACTTGCTATGTGATCACACACACACACACACACACACACACACACACACACACACACACACACACACACACACACACACACACACACACACACACACACACACACACACACACACACACACAAATAGTCATACTTGTATTCCTCACGGTAAAAAAAAACAGCATTGGAAACAGATGGGAAACAAATTTCATGTAGTGGAAACGTTTGGTACTGCGCTCAAACAATCTTACTGAAAGCTTATTTTTGGAGATATCAACCTCAAATTTGGAACATAACTTGTTTAGATTTATGTTTAGCTTTGATTTTCTCGCAGTTTTAGAGTAAAACATGTTTTATATATACATAAATGAGCAAAAATCTTAGGCACAAAATGTTTTTAAGCCAGTTATTTATATCTTTTACTGCAGTGTGTCAGTAGAAAATATCAGTTTACATTTCCAAACATTCCTTTTGTCATTAATTGTAATAATGCGGTGAGATGTTTGTTATCACAAGGAGTCTGACAACAGCTGGTATGATCTGATCTCACCATCATCGAGTCTGTCTGGGAATACATGAAGAAAACAGAAACAAATGAGACAGACTAAATCCAGAAGAACTGTGGCAACGTCTCCAAGACTACAGTAAAGCTACAGTACTGCGAAACGTTTTAGGTATTTGTGTAAAAATGCTGTAAAGTGAGGATGCTTTCAAAAATAATGTCATAAATTGATTTTATGTATCAATTAACTTCTATTAACTAAATCAAATCAATGTTTGGTGGGACCACCCTTTGCGTTTAAAACAGCCGTTTTTTCGGTTTCTTCATGTAATCACAGACATATGATGATGATGATGGTGAAATCAGATCTTCGTGTGGAACATACTGGTTGTTGTCAGACTCCTTGTGCATACAAAAATCAAAAACTCATTGGATTATTACAATTAATGGCAAAATTAATGTTTGGAAATGTAACCTGATATTTCCTACCGACACTGCAGCAAAATATATAAAACGTGCTTAAGACGTTTGCATAGTACTGTATATTTCATATAAAAATATATTTTTTTTATAGAACTAAAATATAGTGTTCACTTAATTAAAGGAGAAAAAAAATCTTGTCATTTTTAACTGCGACGTTAAGCACCAGAGGGTTAAAGGGTTAAATACTTTTAATTGACAATTTCAGTGACATTTTCCCCAAATGTCTTAATACTTTAATATGAAAAATGTCATTCTATATTTTTTTATAGGTGCCCAAATTGATGATAATGTTCCAAAGAGAGCTTCTGCACGGATTCTGGCTCCACCTGGTGGTCGTTCTAGTGGAATCTGGTAACATTTTGGATCAACACTTTTGGATCAACACAGAAGTCTGAAACTAAACACCTACATTTTTGACAACCTCACATCTGATGAACGTTATTTAATTTGAATCACTTGCACCTAAACTCCAGTGTTTTTATAAATATGTGTGTATGAGGGAAAAAAACGATATATTTGTGTGGAAATTGGGAAAACAAGGTATACGTTGGAAATGCTTGTGACAGAGTTGGTTATACAAAGCGTTACAGGGTGTTTTGTTCTTCATATCCAGTCAAATGAATTCGTGAAGTTTGTGTTTTAATACAACACTGTTGTAGTGCTAAATAAATGACAGATCCCTTTTACTAACAGTTTTTGTTACTGCATATACAGTACTTACATATGTTGACGTTTGAACCATTTTAAAGATAGAAACTGGAAATTTGTTTAAGAATGGGAACATTATTAGTCTGTGTAGTTGGTCATGGCTTGAAAATGTGAACCATTGTAAAGTTATTTAATATTACCTATTTTAATGTGTTGGCGGATGACTATACATTTACCTCAGTGTTTATCTCTTGAGTTACACTTGTGCACATTAGCATTCTGCCTCTCTACACAGTACAACTCTTACAGCGACACTTTCTGACAGCAGGTACAGTTACAAAACATTTTTGCTTTGTTTTGAGGTGTTAATATTTGTTCTTACTTTTTTGACATACTGATCATTCAAAGGCAATAGAAGATATTTGATTGTTTCTGTCATGACACAGGCCACTTGTATTGCTTAAGCATTTTAAAAAGTTATTTATATGAAACATTTTTAATTTTCTTAATGTCGTTTATAAGCACACGTACCTGACCTCCTAAAATGTGAATTAAGAATAACATTGTTTACTTTGTTACATAACAAATTTAGTTGTGTAACCAATCTAAAACTTTAGTGATTTTTCATTTTTAACTAACCTGATTTTTTTTCTCAATCCATTAAGTCTACATTCCCTTTTACTGTTATGAGTTATTCTTCATAACAAATGCCATAATTTTGCAGTATATCTTTGTTTATTCTAGAATTAACTGTTAGCTGAACGTAATGACAGTGTAATTCTTCGGTTGTTCACTGAACATTAACACTGTGTATTAGTGACTATTGATCTGCATGGTCCACAGCTAGTCAGAAAAATTCAGCTTCACTTCTGATCAATAAGTTCCACAACCACTAACCAACCCTAGTTAAAAGACAGCAGACAGCTTACTGATGCATGTGTTCTTTTTGTACATGTATGTCTAACTAAGCACTTCCATAGAGACCATTTGAAACACAGTAACTTTAGCTGTACAACTCAGTGTTCTAGTGACACAAGCAGTAGAATGGCAAGAACATTTCTGTTGGTGCTAAATATTCATGTATTTTTTATTCTGGGATTTCAGTATGCTTTTCAATTTTTTTAATATGAGCTGTGTATGCACTACAGTTTTATTACGTATTAATGTAATATGTATCTCATGAAAAAGTGCAAATAAACCCCATTCAACCTCATGGTCACATGTATTATTGAATAGAATTAAACATTGAATATGGTTATGCAATACCGGTCAAAAGTTTGGAAAACTTTTTTTAATGTTTTTGAAAGAAGTCTATTTTCTATTTTAAATAAATGCTGTTCTTTTTTTAACTTTATTCATAAAAGGATCATAGATTATAAAAAAATATTAAGCAGCAGAACTGTTTCCAACATTGATAATAAAGCACGGCAGCATTATAGAATGATTTCTGAAGGATCATGTGACACAGACTCATAGTGTCTGATGCTGAATCAGTATAATGATTAATGATGCTGAAAATTCAGCTTTGCATCAAAGAAATAATACATTTTAAAGTATATTAAAATAGAAAATCATTGTTTTAAATTGTACTATTTTCCCATATTACTTTTTTTCCCTGTATTTTTGATCAAATAGATGCAGGCTTGATGAGCATAAGAGACTAATTTCAAAAACACTAAAAATAATAATGTTTCCAAACTTTTAGCTGGCACACTTTATACTTATATTATTAAATAACTTTAATTCATAAGTAATTAACAAACATAAGGCGGATACACTTTATTTTAAGGTGTCTTTGTTACACTGTAATTATACATTTAAGTACTAAGTAATATTAAGTAATTACATGTACTTACTCTACTATAGTTAGGATTAAGCTTTGGTTTGATTTGGTTTAAGGTTAGTTGCATGTAATTATGCGTAATGGTGACTATACGTGTATCATTATGTAACAATGACACTGTAAAATAGTGTTACCTATAAGGCTTATATATCAATGGGGGGGATTTCCCCCCACAATTAGAGCAAACTGTGTTCCTTTAGAACTAACGTGCTGTTACCATAAACAGTAAAAGAGGCTGTTACTCGGTATTATGAAAGACTTGCGTCTATAATGAAGGGGCGGGGCGCATGCGCAAAGAAGGCCAGTGTGTTGCAGGAGAGCGTGGCGCTATCGTGCGCTGTCCGTAACTAGGCAGCAGCGGCGCATAATATCTGGCAACCCACAGCAGCAGCGGATTGCCTTCTGCCAGTGTAATATCAACATTGGAAAGGACGCAGGCAAAATACAGTGAGTAGAATATTGTTAAAATGTTATAATTAATCGGAATTCTTCCTAATGTATGACATTAAATAGGCGTCTTTTGTCTGTGTATTATGCGTTTATGCCTCGAGCGTGTCTAGTCTAGTGTTGCTCGTGCACGGCGGGGCCTGCAGAGAAACTGTCACAATAAATGGACCGTTTGTTCATTATATCACTGCACGCTAGTGTGCTGTTTTTTAATAGAGCAAAACGCACAAATTCTGTACACCTTTTATGTACACAAAACCAAAAAGAGCCATATCAGTAACGTTAATAAACCACGCGTTATTATAGGGCCTGTGTAACTCCCATCGTAATATGGGAATCACACAGAGACAGTAATATAGTCTAAAATATCGGTTGCGGCAAAAGATAAATAAGCATGAAACTAAATGATTTGTTTGTAACAAATACGAATATTATAATATATAAGACACATGACAGTCATATGACAGTAAAACGCGCACGAGACAGTTTCAAACGTATGCAGCTGAATATAAAAGAAGCCTGTCACCTGTCAATCACGGCTTCATTTCTTCATATTTACACGACTTAAAACTTTATTTAGAAAATGGCCATTATTAGTTGTGTCAATAATAGTATTTCAACTTTTTTTTTTTGCCTTTCGTATTTGGGGGCGTGAGAAAAGGCAATAAAAAAAATCCTATAACTTAAAAATAGCTACATAAATCAGAGATGATCTTAGAATGTTCTAGAATGTTACAAAACAAAAGGACTGGTTCAACTTATTTATTGTTAATTTAAATTATTATATTATAAAATGATCAATATCCTTAAAACCAGCTATTCTCTGACTATAACTTCATATAGAATATTATAAATAATACTACATAAGTTATAGTATGTAATACAAATGTATCTTTTAAAGCAACATTACTATTATGTCCTGACAGAAAAAAGAGGTTAATAAAAATGCTTCCTTTATGAATTTTCTAAGTTTTACCTCTAATTTTTGTCAACACAGTCAGATATACAGTTTATGAAAACAATTATAATCAGGTAATATCATATTAATATTTTCTGTGTCATAGTCATAATGTCAACTCACAAATTGTAAAGAATGTCAAATTGATTTTTAAAACATACATTTAAAAGTGGTTTATGATACATTTGGAGTTTGGTTAGTAGTAGTTTTTTTTTCCTTCTATTTTTCTGTCCAATTATTATTACCTTTATGGCAACTTTTATTTACATGCATATTTGTTTGCATTAAAAAAAACTGTAGTTACAAATGATCTTCTGCTGAAATACCAAATAAAAACATTTAAACACAAAACAAAGTTTTGCATTTAATACGATACGATAGTCAACAACACTATATTTTATATTGTGCTGGCATTAGAGTTTTGTAGGTTATGTTGTCCCAGTTCTTAAGAATCAGAGCTTTAGAAACGTCATGCTGTGAAATACACACATATTGTTTCTCTGTAGAAGATGTGTGTGTGTGTGTGTGTTTTCTGCATGCTGAAGGTTTACATATGTCATTTCCATCATGCAGTTTGCAGGGTCCAGCAGATGTGCATGGTTAAACATCTCAGAAACACTTTAATCTGGATGGATTATCTTTGGATGATTGAAGATTGCAGTTTGACTACTGAAGAACTGAATATCACTTCTGATTACCCATATGGAAACACATTGCAAACACAGTGACACATATTCAAAGCATTTGCCTTTACCTGCTATGCTATGAAATTCATGTTTTAAGTGTAAAATTATATCAAATATAATTTCAGGATATAAAATCTAAACTTGAAATGATGAAAATGTAAATATTTTAAAATATACACTGTTACAGATGCTCTAAGAGGTCAGAGTATTAAAATGACATGCATGTAGGTCCATAGTGACTTTGTTCCTATTGTTTTTCTTTGCAGGAGATGGCAGTGAATGTATACTCCACGTCAGTAACCATCGAGAACCTGAGCCGACATGACATGTTGGCATGGGTGAACGATTCGATTCAGCTCACCTACACCAAAATCGAACAATTAAGTTCAGGTGGGTCATACATACTGCCTTATAAAGTTAACTTTAGCTGGAAGTAACATTATTCAAGAACCGCTATAACGCCAAAACAATCTGTTACCTTAAATTATATGTTTATCTCTGTAAAGCTGCTTTGAAACAATCCATTGTTAAAAGCGCTATATAAATGAAGATGACTTGACTTGACTTATTTCACTAAGTGTTTTTGTCTTTTATGTCATGAATGGCACTCAGCTGCCCTAGTGTACTCTTATTCGTGCTTTTGATCATATTAAGAGATCACATACAGTATGTTCAGTGTTTTTATCTCAACCTGTGTAATCAGTCAAATAAAAGCATTGACTTTGCACTCTTTATCACTCGACACTAATAAGGTTGAAAAATCACATGCAAGCATGTTGATCTAATACATTTTTTGATCATGCATTGAATGAGCTCTATTGACCTATGTTCTCTTTTGCTGTTTGGCCTCAGGGGCGGCTTATTGTCAGTTCATGGACATGTTGTTCCCAGGCTGTATTCTTTTGAAGAAAGTGAAATTTCAAGCAAAACTGGAACATGAGTTTATACACAACTTCAAAGTACTCCAGGCAGCTTTCAAGAGGATGAACGTCGATAAAGTTAGTGGATCCTTGGCTTTTGCACATTTGCTTTTATATACATCTCATATTTAAAAAAAAAAAACAAGTTATATATATACATCTCATATTCTAAAACCAAGTTATCTTTACTCAAATATAAAATATAAATGAAAGCTCATTTGAGCTCATTTATTAAAACAATATCAGCTACAATGACAGTGGATTGAACGAAGGCAAGACATGTTTATTTTTATATTACACATTTTATACGAAATAGAAACTCAAAATGTTTGGCATAATATCATACAAGGTACATGAGAAGTAAAAAACTTGAAATTGATTTAAAATGTATTTAAACAAAAAGGAAGCCAATACAGAAATAAAGAAGATAAAAAAAATGACATTCAGGATTTTTGCTTGTAATTTAAAAATGATCAAAAATGTTTTTAAACAAAAAGCGTCCTGTAGGTATGAAAATGAAAGTTTATTGTTTGATTATTAAATGGGCCAATTAGTGCCCACTTTCACAGACAAGACTTATAGGGTTAGTTCACCAAAAAATGAAAATTATGTCATAATTTACTCACTCTCAAGCCATCCTAGGTGAATATGACTTTCTTCTTTCAGCCAACACAATCGGAGTTATATTAAAAATATATGCTGGCTCTTCCAAGCTTTAGAATGGGAGTGAATAGTAATTGAGATTTTGAAGCCCAAAAAGCCATTCCTTTACCATAGTAATATTTATGAGCAAGCCCTTCACCTTAGTATTTTTAAAATACAGACATCTCTAATAAAAAATGAGAAGTAACTTGCATCAATACCATGAAAATTAAGCCACTTAGTTAAAATAGTTATTACAATTAAAATTAGTTCTACAAATTTGGCTGATAATATGTGATATGCATTGTATAATGTTTGTTAACTAATGGAAATAATAGTGATAAATGTATATTTTTGTTTATCAGAAGGTGATCAGTCAGGTCTGCTGGTGTTTGGTGCCGCTTGTCAGGTTATCTGAAAATATTACTGAAACAAGTGAAGGTTTCTAATATTTCATTTCATGTATCAAATATATCAGAAATTCCTAGGATGGGAGAAAATGATTAAAAAATTACACCTCTAGATTACAGCTCAGTATAATATTGATCTAATGATTTTTTTTTTCTTTTGTTATCCAGATAATTCCTGTGGAAAGATTAGTGAAAGGAAAATTCCAGGACAACTTTGAATTTGTCCAGTGGTTTAAAAAATTCTTTGATGCCAACTATGACGGAAAAGAGTATGATCCCCTTCAAGCTAGACAGGGCCAAGATATGGCACCTCCACCAAATCCAGGTGAACACTTTTCCTACAAACCCAAGAGAACTGGTCCCTCAGGTAATATCCAGATTTTGCTGCATTGATTGCTGAGCTTCTAGTGATTGACAGCGTGCTCTGCAAAGCAGCTGGTTGTGCACGGGCCTCAGAATCATTTACTCCATGCCCACGCTTTCATTAATGAGGAAACAAGGAATTCAGTATTAAAAAAGCTCTGTGTTACTGCATAAAGAACTGCCTTCTTAATATCAGTACTAACAAATAGTTTTCCAAAATCAGTTCCTCTTAGTGTTCTCTCATGTGCTGTCCTGAAAGGGTCATTGCTTGCTTAGTGTGACTTTGGTCAGTCCTATTCATCCCTCAGATTTTTTTTATTGTTCATTGTAAAGTTATATAGTCACCCGGAATGAGTTACACAAACCATGCAATTTATTTTAACCCTCTATTGCATGCATTATGAAAGCAATGTAAACATTATTAATTTAAATGTTTCTCATAAAATTGATCTTATTACTAATATTTAAGAATAATTACTCAAAAAATCTTGGTAATTTTCTTTTTTATTATTAAAATCATTTTGCGGCAACACTATGCAATTGGGTGGTGCCGTCCCCTGGTTTACAATTTATGAGACAAATGTAATAAAATAAAGCCTGTGGTAAAACATAACTTGACAATATTTTGACGTTTTGTTCTACAGCGTAAATTGCACACACCCATACCCAAAACGTGAATTTTGAAGCAGTTTCGTTCATTTTTGAAAACGGACATTTTTACGTACGTAGAAACCATTTGCAAATTAGACTTCCAGGTTCTGACGTCATACTTTCACCACTCTATATTTCGAAAGAAATAAATGCATAAACAAACAAACAAAAAAAAAAACATAAAAAGACAAAAATACACTATTATATGACAGAAACTAAAAGAGTTTCTCCTTAGTTAGCAGTAGTTAGCACTATATTTAAATTTTACTTTTAATGTTATGTAAATAAAAAAAAAGAATATTTAAAAAAGGTATTTAATAATTAATAATACAATAACAACAAAACAACATCACTGCAGTATTTTCTATATATACTTTACACACACTCCCCTTAAAAAAAAAACATTTTTTAAGCAATTTCCCATTATGTACACTACCATTCAAAGGGGCCAGTAAGACTTTTTTTAATGCATTTTTTTACTTTTAATCATGCATTAAAATTATAAAAAATAACAGCAAAGACTTTTACTTTTCTATTTCAAATAGCCTAATTTTTTTTTACTTTCTTCAAAAAATCCTAAAAAAAGTAACAGTGTTTCCACAATGGCTGTTAAAAATACATCACAGGAATACATTACATAAAAAAAGACCCACTGATATTGAAAACAGTTATTTTAAATTGTAATAATATTTCACAATATTCATGTTTTTTTTCTGTATTTTTGATCAAATAAATGTGGCCTATGAGTAGAGACGTTTTTTTCAAAAACACCAAATCTTTTAACAAACTAGTGTGCAAATAATGTATATGACTAATTCATACAACTGTTTGTTTATTTATCTAACTTGTATAACTATTTTAAAAGGGATTTTATTCACTAATAAATCATGTGAATCATATTTTTGATAGGAAAACAGAACAGAGCAAAATCATCCCTTTACTTTATTGGTCTTTTATTTTTGCAAACTGATGAAAAAGGGTTGGTTGCCCTGAGGCAACACTGCACAATAGAGGGTTAATAGCCAAGGGCTGGAAACATACCTGTAGAGAGGTATAAAAGTGGCGTCCTAATTTGCTGACAATCGACAGCTTTTTTGATCGTTGGGGTGGATTGGGAATGTGACCTCCATTTAATTTGTAGTCACATCTCTTCACACTTCCCTGACTTTGGTTAAACCTGCCAGATATAACTGTGGATAACTGGCTTTTGAAGTAGTTAATGTTTGATCACACACACACACACACACACACACACACACACACACGCACGCACGCACGCACACACACACACACACACACACACACACACAGGCTTAACCAAAGTAATGGGGTAACAAATTGCCCATGCTATAGCTTATTAAAGGCGGATCTTACTGAACCTCTTAACTCATTTTATCATCTTAGTGAATCATTAGCTCTGTTCAAAAATCTAGTGAGCTCAGTGGCGTAACGAGCCAACACCGGGCCCTTATGCAGGATTATCAAGGCGGGCCCCCTACTACAACACGTGATGACGCAATGTCCACGAGTAGGCTTTTGCATGCAATACGCAAGGAACTGTTTACATCTGGCCACGTCATGCTTTTTCTGTGATCGTATAGCTATCCGATCGTGAAAAGACCAGGTGTAAATTCCCTTCGAAACGCATTCGAGACGGATTTGAATCCGGTCGCTCAAACCACTTCAGGAGGTGGTCTGGGCCGCATTCCAGACGACACTGGACAAGTGTAAATGCATCTGGTTGTTGAAACCACATATGTCAATTTTACTCCTCTAAAAATGCTAAAAAAATAAACGTGTGAGAGCGTGTTATAGGCTATATGTCATAGTCAGATATGACGACGCTTCTGCAACAACACGCATCACCGCAGATGAGCATCTATTCATCAAGCCAACGCACAAACTATCGCAAATCAAAGTGAAAGTAAGTCGCAGACGCTCGCTTAACACACAATCATCTTCATTAAAAGTAAAGAAAGGAAATGATCTTACCAGTACTGTTGCCGCTCTCTCTAATTGCGGTCTTCGATTTAGAAATTTTAGCTGATGATCAATAAAATGCAGCTTATCTGTTGCTTTCGGTGACGTGAACTCTATTAAATCTGCATATAGCGCGGAAATTGAAGATCGGATTTATATCTGTTTGCAAAAACACATTTATGTGACCAGCTGTAAATGGAATCGTTTTGATAAATCAGTAGCTATCCGATCTGAGAAAACGCATGAAGTGGCGCGCGCGTGTAACGTTAAACAGCCGACCCGGGGATTCCCCAGTCCCAGCTCAAAACAAATTACACCAAAATCCATGATTGTTCGTTTCACACATGTATTTAATGATCTGTAAAATATGTTGTTGTCATTATTTATTTAAAACAAAATCGTGATAAAGTAAAATGAGATCAAACTAAAAGTAGTAATATGCGATAGGGGGCCCCGGCTGTCAATCAATATCTTCCAGTCAAGCGGGCCCCTGATTGGTCCGGGCCCGTAAGCAACCGCGTACCCTACTTACCGATAGTTACGCCACTGAGTGAGCTGCCACCATAGATGGCATTTAAATGCATCATAGGTTCATTCCTGAGGATGGGCAAAAAATTAGGCTGCAAAATGATCTTATGCAATGCTTGCCCAAACAAGGTATTGTAAATCTCCTTATACAGTATAATTAAATGTGATAAGCTTACTGAAAAAAAAAAAAAAAATCACCCAAGAGGTTTATAGAACATTTCAGATCAATCACTTATGAGGGTCCATTTTTGCCCACTATGGTTTGGAACAGAGCTACAGTAAATTTGTTTAAAGAAGCTGATAGAAATGGCAAAAATCTAAAATTGCATGGATCAGTTTGTACATTTCCTGAACAGCTTTCTATTACCTAAATGCTAAACATTTCCAATTTCAGGGCCTCAGAGAACATCGCCAACAGTACCTAAAAACATGCCCACACCACAGAGGGTGACCACCACCATAAGGAAGAACCCCACACATGCCCGAAACGGGACAAGCGATGCTGAAATCATGGAGCTTAATCAACAGGTAGAGTCCCCGGGAGGGTAAGGAAGTCTTACTCTACCTTGGAATACTTTGTATTGAAGATATAAAATTGTATAGAAAGAAAAGTGTAGGTAGATTTTGCATATGTCATTTTAATCTTTCTTTTCTCCCATTTTCTTAAGACCATTCCTGATCTCCTATCCCACCTGTTAAGATAATCGCATTTGATTTAATATTCTGAAATAAACATGGATATAGATTGTCTCGTCATAATAAGCATACTAACCTTTTCCCACCAAGGAATGGTCATCTTCTGATGAGTAGTGGCTTACATTTTGTCTTTTACTTTGTTTTTTGAAGTTGATGGAGCTGAAGTTAACTGTGGACGGTCTGGAAAAGGAGAGAGATTTCTACTTCAGCAAACTTCGAGACATTGAACTGATCTGTCAAGAACACGAGCCCGAAAACAATCCAATTATGAGCAGGATAATTGACATTCTGTATGCCACAGAGGTACTGCAATGACATTTCTTTGATAATAATTTGACTGATATATCCATGAGGTTGATTCAGAATTGCGATATCTGGTCAATTTTTTATCGGATGTTAACCGTGTTTAGTTGACAGTTCTGCTAATTTTTACACGCGCTATCCAGTCGGTTCATTAGCAATCAATCCAATTGCACTGACCAACAGAAATCTGCTTGGTTTGAAAGTGACTTCTGTGTGAGTTGTGCCTCATACATCGCTACACTATTGACAATAAACAATTGATCTCCAGAGTCAGGCGTGAAAATACTAAAGTTGAAATTCCCCATTTCTGACCTCAGTGTGTTCCTGTTAATCACGCAAAACAGTCACATGTACACATCAAGATGGCACCATGACTCAACAAAAGTCGATTTCGTGCTCTAATGCTAATTATGGTAAAAACTAAAGTCATGAACACAAAATATGGTATTTTTAAAATACTACAAAATATATATTTTTTTTAACCAAAAAATCTGATATCTTTGTATATTACATACAATTTTGCATTGTTCTGGTTAGTCGTCGCCGTCTTGGAAATCAGAATTTAAGTGACATTCAAGTTCCAAACTATCTGAAATTAGGCAAAAGCTGTCAGTTCCAAAATCTACTGACAACAGTTTATGAATATATGAAAAATGCCAAGCTGAGGCTTCAGAATCAGATTCAATTTATTGAAATGGACATGAAATGTTGCTACTGTAGTTTTAATTAGAGCCACTATTAAATTGTGACCTAAAATTAACAAAACTAGTCTAATAACTTTAATGGGCAAAATAAAAGTGCGTTAAAAACATTTAAAGTACTGCCATTGATATTCAGTATATTCTGTATCTCTCAGGCCTACTTCTTACTAGATATCGGCAAAACTTTGCCAAAAACATCAGTTGACCACTAGTCACTGGTATGCTTTTGAAAGCATGGAACTATTCAGTGTTTAATATAAGCTGCGTCCGAATTTGCGTACTTATGCACTATTCTATGACGTTTTGTAGTATAATGTGAGTAGTGTATTCCACAATACTTAATTATCTGAATAAACGAAGTGTGCAATGTGGGACATTTCGTGCACTCAAATGTCTCAGCTTTAGTGGAGGGGGAGAAGCTATCAGACACCAATGTTGAATGACAAAATCACCTTATAAAGTTCATACATTGCACGGTTAAGTACATAAGTACAGTGTATACTGTAAGTGCATACTGTAGTGTGTAGTGCATTATTTGGGAAACAACTATAGTGATCATCCTAAAAAAACTTGCTAATTTTTCATACAGGATGGCTTTGCACCGCCAGAAGATGATGAAATAGACGAGCAGGCCCACTTGGACCAGGATGAATACTGAGCATCCTCCTTTTCTCTTCCACATTGTCGTGATCCTTCACCATTTCCTCTTCCCACCACTTTGAATGACTCCCCCCTCTCGCACGCTGTTAATATCCCCCTCGGTTTCCTACAAATGTATATATACTCTTATCTGTTTGTCCTCCGACGCTGGTTTATGCACTACATACGCATCAACAAACACTCTCCGTCCTCACCCCATCCAGACTGTAGCACCAATAACGACACGTCCTAGCCGTCTCAGCATGTTTTACATATCGACATAGAGAATGAAGAAAATAAAAGGCATCATAGATTGTCGGTAGCACAAAGGACTGAAAAGAAAAGTGTAAATATTGTGACAGGAAAGATGTTTTTAAAGAAAAAAAGAAAATGAAGAAAATTGTCGCCTGGAATGCAGTTATTCATTGTGAGATTTTCTTTGAGGTCTGTTTTGGCTCCATTCAGTATGAAATGATCAGCATCACGCCATCCATCTGTGTCTCCAGCTTCAGTCTGCCTCTCTCACTGACTGTACACTTTTAAAGAGATGCTCCACTCTGTTATCATTTACTCACTCTCATGTCGTTTCAAACCTTTATGACTTTCTTCCAAGGAATAAAAAGTTCAATTCAATGTAGACTGAAGCTTCCAAGCTTAAAAAAGAACACAAATGTATCATAAAAGTGGTGCACACGATTCATACACTATATTCTCAGTTTTCTTAAAGCTTCTTCCCAGCGTCAAATACACCTGAGACTGGATAATTGAGTCAATGATCAGTCAGATTCATTCAGACTTTTTTCAAACAGATCTAACTGATTCATTAAAAAGAATGATTAATTCAAGAGTCAAAATTACATTCTCCAGAAAGGACAATATTTTCTCTGAATAAGGATGCTTCAGAAGGAATGGAGCGCACAATTCATATGTACAACTTAATTTTTTTTTATGGTGCATTTGCATCCTTTTCGAAGCTTGAACTCTTTACTCACCATTTATACAACCAAATTATCATAAAGGGTTGGAACGACATGAAAGTGAGTAAAATTACAGAATTTCATTTTTAAGTGAACTATTCCTTCAATGACTAAATCAAAAAGCAGGAAGAATCCCAGTAATATCAAACTCATGCATCTTTTACAGTATATCTGCCAAGATATTGATGTCAAGTTTGTCAGTGACGTGAATAAATGCTGAGCTGTAGAGAGGACTTTATGCTTTTAAATATGGGTTGGGCCAGTGACAGGGTAAATAAAAGGGAAAAAAGACATTAAAATGTGTCAACAAGGCTTTAAAATGTGTGAGACAACATAATTCATGGCACAGGTTGTTTTGCTTATACCCAGGGAGCATGTGAATGTTATACATTGACAACTGAGTGATTGTTTAAAAATCATATTCCAAGAGTATGGAAAGTGGTATTACCGTCATATTCAACTAGTGTTCATGACACCATTGAGCATGAGGGACAGTACTTATTGTGTGTAGATTTTATTTTAGTGGCAATCACACAAGTGATACTACTGATCGGATGATGTCATGTCGAATTGAACTGACGTTTGCTGCTAGTGTTGCTGCATTTATGTGTTTTGTATTTATTTTGCTCAGCTATTGAATAGCATAGGGCTGTGCATTCTTAACTGTAAAACATAGCAGATTTGTAAAAGGCCCTGATTAAATTAAACAGATATGCTAGATTCCACAGTCATTGGTTTGAATCTGCTTCTCTCTGTGTAGAGAACCGGACTCATCTTGTATTGTCTCAGTATAGCCATAATTGTGTTTGCATAAATTGTTTTGAGTAAATAAACTTTCATGAGAACAGTTTTGTCCATGCATTTCATAAAACTGAATATAAAAGGGTAAGTAAAATGTTATGGCATACAAAAATGTGCTTAATTTCTTTTGAATAATGTCAATGCAAACAATCTTTATGCAAAATATAGTTGTTGTTGTTGTTTTGGAGTGAAATATGATCTGGACAGTAAAATACGGTCAATTTTGATTTCATGACGACTTTAAAAAAAATAGGAAAGCTGTAAAATGTTAATATTTGTAAACATTTTAATGTTTTTATTCAATTTATCTTTATTGTTTATTTCTTTTGATAGTTTTTTTTCTTGTTTATATTAAAAAAGCTTCGGTTTTTATTTTTTATGTGTTTTTTTTATTTAATTTCAAGTTTCTTGTGTTTATTTATCTTTTGATTTTACTGATTTATTTGTTTTGTTGTTTTTCCTAATATACCCCCTCGATTTATTTTTTATTATTTATTTATTTAAATCCAGCGTGATCTCTGAATGAGCATTTCATTGGTTTGACTTAAATGAACGAGTCAGTCGATGTTTGAATCTGAACGAGACTCGGTTCGGCAGAGCATTAGAATCCGCTGAGTGAACTAGCGAAATGTATTTATTTGTACTATTTTGTTGTCTTTTAGTTCGATAAAAGTCCGTTGACAAAATGAAGGAAATTCATAGATCTACTTTGCAGTCAGTTGCGGGAAAACATTTGATGGTTAAACAGTATTTATGTAGTTCCCCGTGTAGCCCTGAAGGAAATAAAGGGTGCTGCGGTCGTAAAAGATTCGGTGCTTTTTATAGAATCAAGTAAATGATTCAATGACTCAGTCAACACATCGCCACCGTAGCGATGTAAAAGCCACTGAACAGATTCAAAAGCTTCGATTCACTGGGTTGAATCAAAATCCCTAGTACCGCTAACAAACACCTGTCAACCATCAGAGTAACTGATGAGTTTACGTTAGGTAAAGTTTGAGAGTTCTTTATTTTTATTTGTTGGTCGGAGGGCCAACCTAAAGAACAAATACTCTAAAATGGTGAGTGGTAGCTGCTAAAACTAATAAAAACTCGTTAATTAACGTTACTACGTCAGTTAGCGTTCTCTGGCGAATCATACGTTAACTTAACAGGGAAGCCAAACACGAAATGTTTTATCTTTTTCTTGTTAACGTACTTTATTTTATTAAGGTAAGCTTCACATTCACTCTAACTACTGTAAATTATGCTATCTCCATGTTTCCGTGCTTGGACAAGGTACGTCCACTTTGCCAAGATCGTAAAAACAAAATCAAACCGCTGAAGGGAAACGCCATTGGCCTCAATCTGCTGGCAAAGCGAACAATACTGACGTGAGTATTTTAAGAACGACTTAAATCGACAAACATGAATTTGTTTGTATAAATTATCAAATAAATCTATATATGTGTAACGTTACTATTTTAGTGACCAGCCTCACTCAACGGTCAACACTAAAAGCAAAGCTCAACCTTACACACGATGTTTTGAACAACCACTCAAACGCTTCAACTTCGCGCTGCAGTACAGTTGGAGGAGCGACACAAGGTTTGACATCACAAACATGGTCAGGGAAATTAACTGTATTTATTTGCTAAATAAAACGAAGTTGACTATTGACTCTGTCCCAATAGGAAACCTCTTACCAACAGTCATTCTGTAGGTAAGAACGGTTTTTACATTCTAAAGCCTGTCATTGGTTATAATACTTCCTCCATAGCGCTGTTGTACTGTAATTCAAACTGCATCATAACGGATCTGTACAGATGCGTTGTCCAGTAATGCAGACGAGGAGACCATAGATACAGTGGCAGACAGCTTGATGGATACAGAATATGAAGATATTTTTTCATCTGTTGACACAGGTAACGTTAGCTTATTAAAAAATGTAAGCACCATCACAGAATCAATAAAAACAGCCCAGCCCTGTGCCGTTTGATTGTAGAGTTAACCTTATAGCCTCCTGTATCTAATTTGATATGCAAATTTCTAAGGCCTCTAAATGATCATCATGATGATAACTTTGGTGAAAAACTTGTTGTTCCCAGCGTACTACTTGCACTCTGTCGTTTGATTGATAGTTTATACTTAATCAAGTAAAAGGCCCTGTAGTATAATTCTAAAAACGTCTCCCCTTCCAGTCATGGTATACATGACTTTGCTGTGAAATCTTTACTGATTATAAAGTATAACTTTTATATTAGTTGTAATATTTCAAAATGAACACTTGCTAGACTGAAGCAACTTTAGGTTTACTTCATTAGAAATAAATTTTCAAGTAAAAAAAAAAAAAAAAGTGTGTATCAAATATGATGCATCACCTCACCTTTGAGAAACTTTTTTGCCCCCACAATAAAAACTACAGAGCTTTGATCATAAAACTAAGCATTTAATTATCATCTTACTAAGACACATTATTAGTAGTATAGAGTGACGTGATAATTAAATGCTTTTATGTAAATAGTCTGCTATATTTTATAAAGATGTCATTTATTTACATTACAAGCTATCAGAATTTCACCTTGCTTCTTAGCCGTAAATATCCTCAACTGCGCCAAATTGCATATTTAAAAATGTTTTTTGCTCCTCGAGTATAAGCTCCATATAATCCTATATTATACTATACTGTATGAACCATAAAAAGCTGTTTCTTCAAATGATACTCAACGAAAAACGCATATGCAAACATTTCTTTGTTAAATTGTCCAAAAAAAAAAAGTCTTCTATTTCAAATGTCAGGCTTAACAAGGTTTAACTTTTTTTTGGTCTCATCTGCCAACAGATGCTTTTGTGGATCACAAGAAAAGCACTTTTAAGGAATTTATTGATGACTCGTGTCCAGAAACACAACTCCAACGAAAATATCGAATGAGAGATGAGGTATAAAAGGAATGACAAATAAAAATATGTGCTCATAATATTTTGATTTAATATTTAACATTGGTTTCAGTTTAAAACTGATTGCACCCATTTTTTTCTCTAACAGTTTGGAAACATCGTCCGCCGTGTCAGAGTTACAAAGAAACATGTTGCACAGACAATGAACAGTCTTACGCTCAACATGAGATGTTTTAAAGTTGGAACGCTGACCAAGACAATCGGAAGATCTGATGCTCTGACCGCCCAATGCACCGTAATATTGATTAGAGGTTTACTGAATTCATAATTCATAGATCAGACTTCAACATCTGATATAATCACATACACTGTGTGTGTTTCATTTACAGTTTACAGTGGATTACATTGAGATTGCAAATGAAGGTAAAGCATGTGCACATTCCCAAACAGCAGGCTTTGTTTAGACGCTTGTTTAGATTCCTCAAAAATGAACATTTGGAATAGGTTTTAACTTTTCAACATATACTAAAGTGATTAATACATTTGAGTAACTGGAATCATTCAAAGTATGCAATGATTCATGGTGTTAATAATATTATATTTCCTCTTCTCTTTCATAAACAGGACGAATAGAAGCATCAAATGTGATCGCTTGTGAATGGTGCACCGTGAAGAAGCTGCCGGCCCTGTTTCTACACACAACACCTGAGATATGCCTTCACCTGCAGGTCCAGCTTGACATGTTTGAAGATGATTCAAGTGTGTGGTGTGACTGCCAGAGCAGGAGTGAGTCGCAAATATGAACATACAGCATTCTATCCATGATGAAATGTGACTGATATTCCTGCTTTGAGATTTAAATTATATAAAAGGGTTTCTATTCTCTCCTCAGATGAAAAGAAGAAATATGTTGTCCTTATGTTTGAGAATGAGCTCACACTCCCAGAGCAAATCACACTTGAGGAAATATTCACAGAGATGGGCAAGTGTTATAACATCAGCTGTTTTCCAGTTAAGTTGTCACTTGAAGAAGCCAGTAACCGACTGAAGTCACACAACTGTGCCCAAAAACAGAAGGTGGGTGAAGACATGCAGTTCAAATATGTTTGTCGTCATTTACTCACCCTCATGACATTCCAATCCTATATTTATTTACATTTTTTCCCTTTTTTTGTCATATGGTTTTGAATGTCCTCGCATTAACCATACACAGATCAAATAAACAGCTATTATAACTATTACGGTGATTAAAAGTCTAGTAAGTTTATTATTTCTTTAGGTGTAAAAGCCTTTGGCATCTATAAGACCTATCTGGACTTAAAAATGACTAGTGCTCTTCAGTCATCTTACTGTGTATAGTGCTTTTGCCTTCTTTCTACTGTCTTGTACAATAGCATTTATTTTATTTTGCTGTGTTCAGATCGCTATACTTCAGCCTGAAGAGGATGAACTTCCTGTCATGAGTCAGGTTTCTCAAAATGTTCATTTCTTTTTTGTTTCCCTTTTCCTGTTTTTCTTTTTCTTTTCCTATTCCTTTTCCTTCCCACTTTTTTTTTTTTGAAGAAAGTCTTACGGTTTAAAGCAACTCTAAGTAAGAATTTTCAGAATTTTCAAAATCGTTTCAGTGGTTAATCAAGTCGTGACATGGTGAAATGCACTTATGCTACCGCTTTGCGGTTCTTTATCTGATATATCCACGCTATGTAAGATTGCCAGATCGCGTCGCGTTTCTGTAGTTCTAATGAGGACAATTCCGCTTCCAAACTGTAGGGCGACCGCAGAGGAAAAGTTCCTTGGTGTTGCTTTAACGTCCTGGCATTAGCCATTCATAGATAAAATCAATGTAACTATTTATTATGGTGATTACAGGTTCACTAGAAAAAAAAAAAAATATATATATATATATATATATATACACTGTTTTTTTTTAAGATGTAAAATTAAGTGATTTTGTGCATCTTGACTTAAAAAAAGACTAGTGCTCTTCAGTCATCTTACTCTGTAAAGTGCTGTTGCTTTCTTTCTGCTGTCCTGTCCAATAACATCTATTTTGTCTTGCTCTGTTCAGATCGCCTTGCTTAAGTTTGAAGAGGATGATCTTCCTGTCATGACTCAGGTTTCTCAAACTTCTCATTTAATTTAATTTATTTTCATTTTCCTTTCTTTTCCTTTCCTTTCGCCATTACTTCCATTTCCATTCCACTTCCATTTAGCCTTTCCTTTACTTATACTCCCCCCCCCCCCCACCCCCCCCCTTTTATTGTCTTTCCCTTTTTTCATTTAATTTCTTTCCTTTTATTTTTATATTACTTTCTCTTTTCTGAATGGTTTCCAGAATGGTTACTGGATACTAACTTAGTGGAACTATAAAACAGTGGTTGCTGGACAATCAAATGTTGTCATAATCTGCAGTAGTGCATTCATGTATTCACAGGTTGATATATTATATGTGTCATTATTTGTGCTTGCTTGATGTTGAATGTGTCTATGTAATCTGTTTATGTTTTTAATGTTGTCTGTAGGCATGTGCCGGTATCAAATTTTCATGCTGCGATTAATTGATTGAGCTTTTATCACGGTATACGGTATTATCACGATATTTTAATTGCACAAGAGAAACAGACGGATTGGGGGTATCTAAAAAAAACTTGCATCACAATGTGTAATTGGGATTGTCAAAACATTAATTTTATTTTTTAGTGACAACATGTTATAATGTTTACATGGTTACTGAGGCTACTGTTTGTATTATTGCTTAACACAATTTTCATGATTTCAATTAAATTCTTGGATTTAATTTCAATCTTGATTCAATATTGACTCATTTGGATAAATATTAGGTAGGCTACAGTAGATAGCCTGCATTTAAATGTTTCTCAAGAAAAAATATATCTCGCATAATGCTGTAAACATACAGAGAGAAATGAAATATAATGCATACAATATAAATATAATAATAATATAAATATAAAAATGTAATATGCCGTAATTTTCATTATAATAACAATTATATAATGACAAGTAAACATATATTAAAATATGTAATATAGTGCACATATTTAGCAAAATACTCCTCTCTATAGCTATTTTCTTATAGTCAACTAACATTAAATGGCTTTCCTGAGGTAAATGTAACGTTCTGTGACATAATTGTTCTCCTGCAGTGTTATTGACCTCTATCCGTGGTTGAAAAACACTGATTGATCGAAAGTACGTACCTTTCGGTGGGTTGTACTGGATCTTTAATAAAAAGTAACAGATGATCGGTTTACTTGAACTGAGGCGCGCGATCTGTCACGTCACATTTACAAGCACCAAAACAGTATTTATTGTCTGAATTTCGTTATAAAACCTGAGAGCTGATATTTTTTTCATATCAAAAGTAACCTGCTCTGTCTAGTCTGTCGGTGTCAGTGTCCTCTTTGCTCCGCGATTTTTCTCTGGCTGAGAAAATGGATGTGTGGCGCGAGACCGTGTGAAAGTGTCAATTGCGTGAGTCTCAAGCTGAATGCGTGAGAGTTGGCAGCCATGCGGGGGATAAATAGTCGGCAGCGTTCCTCCTTCCGCCGTGCTTCTTCTCCATGTGAGGATTGTTTACATTAGACTAGAGTGCGCACTGCATGCACACAGTGCTTATACATGTGATGTGGGGATTCTTTACATCAAAGTGCACATGTGTTTTGCGCAGCATATACGCATTGTTTTATAAGCGGTTGATGGAAAATAAGCTGATGCGCGTTCTAAAAATCTAAATTCGGATCTATTATTTTTCACGGTATTTCGAAGTCCCCGCGATAACAATATTGTGCATATTCATTACCGCGATTTATCGCATTACCGAATACCGGCACATGTCTAGTTGTCTGTACGCAATGATTTTACAGTTTTTTTAATAACAACCTACCAGGGATTTTCAGACGAAAATTAGTCTGTACGGCTAAATCTGGCTCATTTACATTTGGACATTGTCCTTATGTTCATTAATCCAAATCTTGGATGAGTGAGATTTGAAAGCGAAACTAAAATGCGCACATCCGCACGGGCATTCATAAGGTTCGGAGCAGAGCGAGCGTTTTCGCTTTTGGGGAAACCGGGGTCGCTTCTGAACGGTATCACCGTCAACACCAAACTATCGTAGCAAGCCTAGTGGATACATTTATTTAGTTGTTGTGGAGTTACATTGATTCATCTCATCGACTTGCATACCGTCATGTTTAACTTTTATACAAGTTGACACAGATCCCTCTGTGCAGCCAATGACAGAACAGTTTGCATGCTTTGCTCGAACTTTTTCCATTGCATTAGAACTGGTTACACTCACTGTTGTTGCTTGTGAAAACCAAACGGCGGCGCCGTTGGTGGAAACGTGCAGATTAAGGGGTGGTAATTTTATAAAAAGATCCCCTTCCTACGTCAGAAGGGGAGCGAAATCTGATTGGCTTATTTTTTGACATGCTTGCAGAGAAAGGCTTACCAAAACAAAGTTACTGGTTTGTCACTTTTCACGTTTTCTGGGTTGGTAGATGCTCTGGGGACCTGATTATAGCACTAAAACATGGAAAAAGTCGGATTTTCATGATGTCTCCTTTAATTTTCCTTTCCTCTTTTCAGTTCATTTTCCTTTCCCTTCCCATTTCTGTCCTTTTACTTCCATTTCCCTTTCCTTTTCATTTCTTCTCTTTCTTTCTTATTTTTTTTTTTACTTTTCTCTGTACTTTTGCTCCTTTCCTTCTTTCAATGTCCTTTTTAAATCCCTCTTTCAATTAAATTTCCCTTTCTTTCCATTTCCCTTTACCTCTACTTTCTTTTTACTTAGCCCTTTCCTGTTCCTGTCAAATTAACACAATTCAATCAAATATAAATCTTTTAGCACCAATGACAAAATAGAGCAATATAAATCTGCCTTTAACATCTTTTTCAGTTGTTTAGCTCTTTCTTTCAACGTTCAGCAGGCCTTGGTGCCATTTTCGCCCTCTCCTGATGCCCCTCGATGTGAAATTGCAACCCTCAGTGTCTCAGACAGTGATGAGGACGATTTGATAGAGCTCCCTTCATCGGCCAAAAAGGAAATCAAAAAGTCAGTTGACTGGCCAAAGCTGAGATGATGATTTATTGTGATGTTCTTATCTAGAAGAACTCTTTTCATCTTTTTGCAGACTGGTTGTGTACCCACCTCCTCCAGCTAAAGGAGGTCTAACTATAACAGAAGAGGACCTCAACTGTCTTGAGGAAGGCGAATTCCTAAATGATGTGATCTTGGACTTCTATCTAAGGTTGAAGTGGTAAAAGTACAAAGTAAAATCTACTTTAGTCCATTGGCACTGTAATGACATCTTGTTTTTGGCCAGGTATTTGGTCTGTGAGCAGCAGGAAAAGGAGGATGCCACCAAGTGCCATGTGTTCAGTTCGTTCTTCTTCAATCATCTCACTCAGGAGGATCCCAAAAGGCTTCCGGGAGCTACAGATGTATCGTATGTATAATACGGTCTTGTAAAAATACTTAATCATAATTGGTGTAAACACTGCACCGTACCACAGCATTCAGGAGCGCCGGCACAATCGAGTGAAAACGTGGACCAGGAATGTCAACCTTTTTGAGAAGGACTTTATATTTATCCCGATTAATCAAATGTAAGTCTCTTCACAAAACTGCACATCCTGCATCCCTGGTGATCTTTTTAAAATGTCCTTGTAGATGTTTAGGTTGTGTAAGTTAGGTAAAATATAGAGCATATCTTCCTTTGCAATGTCTCCTAAGGGCTCACTGGTACCTGGCTGTCATCTGTTTTCCTGGCAAGATTTCACAGACCAGTGATTTGGATTTTCGCCTCAATGGGCGAAGGCATTCTGTGGAGTATCTTTTCGATCAATCTCCCCCAAATCCCATGTCCCTCTTCTACTCTCCAGAATCCTCAAAACAGCTCTCCAGTTGGAGTCAATCCATAGGTAATTTAGAAAACCGTTGTGGTGCCAGTTCAGTTCAAAATGGTAGTGTAGGTTAAGGACAAAATCTGTTATCTCTTATTTTGCTAAAGGCCAAAATAAACGCTAAATGCTGTTTTGAAAGTATAGCTACAAGTACTTAATACAAGTTTAAATGTATTGAGAGCATGAGAGGCATAATTATTACCAAAGAGTAATAAAAAAAGGTAACTGGACTAGGGTTGCGGCGGTGAGGAAAATTTCCCACCGGTTATTCGACGTGTGACAACACCGGTAATCCCGGTGTCACCATGGGGGGCGGGGCGGGGGGGTTAAATGGCTTTTAAATGCGTGCGCGTTATACTTTCACTTTCCAAATAAGCGTCCATTGGCAATTCAGCGCTGACAATTCAAAACTCGCTGATAATAAAACTTTTATTTATAGACAGAACTTTTATTAGCATAACGAACGAATAAAAATAACCCCATGCATAGGCTGAAAAAAGTGAAAATCGGCAAACTGGGCCCAAACAAATAAGAACCATAAAACGTTTATTAACGAATAAGAAAATAAACTAGGCCTAAATAAATTACACAGTTTAAATAAGATAAAACCAAATAAATAAGAGACGAATATAAAATCTCCACACGTGCTAAATGGAATTTGACTCCTGATGCTTGCTGATCTGTGACGTGACTGGCTCTTGGCACGCACTGCGCAGTTCAGTTTTTAATTATTATGTATGCTCTCTTCTAAACTAAATAATTGATAATTATTATTTTTAATTAATTCAAATAAATATTTTAGCAAAAACTAATACTTTAAAAAAGTCAAGACATCGCGGTGTCACGGTGGGAAAGTGATGTCACCGGTGATGGGGCTTAAAACCGGTAACACCGTCAACACCGTCTATCGCGGCAAGCCTAAACTGGACCAGCGTTCTGGAGGGTTTAAATACTGAAATGCATAAATTATTTAATAAAGCTTTTTTTACTGTTGCCTGGGCTCACGTACCAAAGACTACCATTCCAAAGATTTGGGTTTGGTCATATTTTTTTCAATGTTTTTTAATTCTGTTATGCTCGCAATGGCTGCATTTTATTTTTTATCAAAAATACAGCAAAAACAATAATATTACAATTTAAAATGACTTTTCTATTTTAATAATTTAGCATCATTACTCCAGACTTCAGTGTCACTTCACAAATCATTCTAATATGCCGACTTGCTGCTCAAGAAAACCATTTCTTATTATTATCAATGTTGGAATAAGTTGTGCTGCTTAATATTTTTGTGGAAACATTGATACAATTTCGTTCAGGATTCTTTGTTGAATAGAAAGTTCAAAAGAACAGCATTTATTTAAAATAGAAATATTTTCTAACATGGTAAATGTCTTCACTTCACTTGATCAATTTAATGCATCCTTGCTGAAGTAAAGCATTAATTTCTTGAAATTAAACCGGCCCCAACTTTTGAATTGTGCTTTCATTACCTTCTGAGGAATGAGTGAAAATAATTTTCTGTAATTATAGTTATGGCTATTTGTCCCCCATAGACGACTTTGAGCAGAGTTTCTGCTTCCTTTCAGATGTTGAGGCTGAGGATGATGTTCAGGTAATGTGAATTAATCTCTTTATTGCTCTAACAAATCAGTAAAGACTGATAACCTTTTCTATTTCTGATTTGCAGGCTGTCAAGAACAGATCTGTCCTTAACAGTGTCTCTAAACAGTAAGTCAAGGACATTTCCTCTCCCTCAGATGCCCTTAAAGAATGTTCTCTTTACCCATCACTAGATGGCAGTAACACTTCTTTTAGTCGATGAAATGCTTCATTGTACACTGTGACTGACTGACTGTCTGTCTGTGTTTGTAGGCCATGCATTCTCATCATGGACTCCCTCACCTGCAGTGGAAGATCATCAGTGGTGCAGATACTCCAAGAGTAATTATCATCTTCTGTTTCAAGTGGTTGATTATTTTTGCACCTGTCCGCTAATAGCGAGCTCACATTTTCTCTTGTGCTTCTGTATCCTGCATTAAGCAGCAAATGTCACTAATTAACTACCGTTTCCTGTGAGACAAAAAGCTGTCTTCCTCAAGAGGGAGTTTGGCAGCTTAGAAAGCCGAATCCTGCACTGAACCACATTCAAATCTCATTGGAGGGATTTTGAATAGGCCTACTAGAAAGAATCATTTGTTTAAATCATTTCCAAGGACTCATGGCTGACACAAAAATGGAAATATGGCCCTAAACCGACCAAACCTCATCTATGTTAGGCAGAATGCACAATAAAATGTTTAATACATCACACACACACATTTTTTTTTATGATAATTGAACACAAGACAATATTGCCATTCTAGCCACTTATTTTCTATATATCCAAGATACTTGCAAGAGGAATGGAAGGTCAAAATGGGCTCTCAGCAGAGTTTTGGAAAGGAAGTGATGAAAGGATGGAGTCCCCTCGTCCCACAGCAGGATAACTTTACAGACTGTGGCATCTACGTCCTACAGTATGTAGAGAGCTTCCTCAAGGTATTTTCACTGATGAGCATCTGTTTCTTACTAGATGTTTGCATGAAAATGTTATTTTTCTTCTTCTCTATTTAAAAATACTCTTCTTACTCATTTTTTTAGGACCCACCACAAACTTTACACACCAACATGGACCTGAATAGCTGGTTTTCACGGAGGACAGTGAAGAGGAAGAGGGGGCAAATCAAACAGCTCATTCTCAGACTACACAGACAGCAAACAGCTTAAGTTTATTTTTTTAAGGTCACGCTTCCTACAGACCATTTCATGTTACTACAATCTCAACCTCTTCCTATAGGACATTACAAAAGAAAATTGCTGCTTTAAATTAATATTAAAATAAGTAATTTGCTTTGGAAATGGATTATTTGTTCTTGAAATTCAATAAAATAATGTGTGTAAATAGAATAACAATAAAAGGACCTGTTGCTGAATCTACATTTGAGGTTTGGTTTTGTTCTTTTGTTGTAAAAAATCTCATTGTTTTTTCAGGCACTAGTAAATTTTAAGATTTTGGGCTTTCATTTTTCTTCTGTAACTTTGTTCTGGAAGAAAACACCCAAAATACACATTTAAGTGTTAATTTGATTACATTTGATCTTTTTGCATCTGTAGATTTCAATTATAATACATATGTTCAAAGGCAGTTTTCTCAGAATGAGTTTTTTGCTCATGCACAGTCTCCAAACTTGCACGCAACAAACTTCAAAGTTTTATTCCCATCTATATTTTGAAGGTTTTTACAGAGGAGTTTGTCAGTATTTCATTCGATTGATTTATATAACATTTTAATCTAAGATAAAAGATAAGAGATATCCAAAATCCCTTCTGTAAAAAAAAAAAAAATGTCAACATGAAACGAGAATTCTGAAGTTTATCCAATGTTTAGGTTTCTATTCTGGAAATTAATGCAAATTGGTGCATATTTACTGTGATAATGCATCATTTTCATTTTTAAACATAACATTTGTAATATAAAACTATTGTCTTAATGTACTGTGATTCATCAACTGGGGAAACTATGGTGATATCTATTCTTGTTTAATCTATTCACCTGTAGTGTCTTGCCTTGATAATTCACCCTAAAATGAAAATTCTGTCATTTACTCACCCTCAAATGGTTCCAAACCTGTATGAGATTCTTTCTTCTGCTGAACACAAGAGAAGATATTTTGAAAAATGTTGGTAAACTAACAATTGATGGACCCCATTGACTTCCATTTTTTTGGGGACTTTTACTATGGAAGTCAATGGGGTCCATCAATTGTTTGGTTAGTGGTTAACCAACATTCTTCAAAATATCTTCTTTTGTGTTCAGCAGAAGAAAGAAATTCATACAGGTTAGGATATTGAGGTGAACTATCCCTTTAAACCTACCCCTTCTAAATTTCTGAACGAAATTGCAAAAAAAATTACTTTTCTAAGTTTCCCTAAACACTCTTTCCTTCTGCCATTGGTTGGTCAAACGATTAGTCCCTTTACAAACTCACGCCATTGGTTGAGTTGGTGTTGCTTTATTGTGCTGGTTGAGATGTTCAAACGTACAGCGATCCTGTGAGTGACTCAGGGAAATTGTACTCGTAGTTGTCTGCATATTCAAATAGAAAAGGTTTTTTTGTTGTTGTTTTTTTTAAGAGTGAAAGTCTTCCTCCGTGAGAGATAAACACTCATTATCAATCACGCCACTGGCCTTGTGCTGTTCTCACGGCTCTTGGCCCCGCGCTGCTTGCCACAATGGCTTATGCATATTTTAAACTCATTTAATTTGCTTTGTCTGCTGGACGGCAGAATTTTTGGCTGGATGGTCAGATTGGCATCCTGCACGATCAAGACAGACGAGCGTCTGCCTCCCAATACTCAAAATGAAATGCTTGATGTATTTCCGTGTTCCACCCTGGGCAAGGATTTTTGGACCATAATGTAACACCTGATTCCTGTGTACTTCATACTATTGGGAGAACCAAATGCAAAAAAAAAATTTAATATTGGCTGACCAATCTGAATATTGATGTCTGAAGTAGTAACAGTCCTTCAAAGGGTTAATGTGCACAATGGTGCGTGTTTGAGAACTACAAAATGAACTGGATCTGTTGGAGCAGAAGCGTTCATTAAATTCTCAGTTTGAAAGAAATGTCTCATACTGTAGCTTGCATCATTAGATTAACTTTGAAACCTTAAAAAACCCCACCTGTGACGACCCCCCTCTTGAGATTGCATCCCTGCTGTGTTCTCCATATGAGGAACTTCCTTTATCTCTGTTAATTCTGAAGTGTTCGAGCTAATGAGACTCTTTGAGTGGATCGTTCACTCGGCGCTCAGTTATTACTCCAGTGCTTTGTGGAATTACCCATCTGCCAGCAGGCCGGCAGCATATGGGATGAGTTGTAATTTAAGCTGAAATGTTTTTAAGGGATTGGTTACCACTGAGGGTATAAGGAGGGCAAACCCAAATAGGGAATTTGCTGTTAGATTTTTTTTTCATTCTTTTTTGGGGGCCTTTTGATAGTATTAATGTTTATTAATGAATGAATATCCAGTCACACAGAGTGGACTCTGATTCAAGATTCAACAAAACAAATATAATAATAATGATAATTAGTATATACAGCCACAAAAATGTGGTTAATATATAAATAAATAAATAAATATTATTTTACTATTATTTAGATATTTATTATTGAAATACTTATAAAGCATTTTTACTATAATAGAATACAAATATTTTATTTTTATTTTTTCATTCTTAATTTTAGTTTATGTGCTTTTATTCGTTTGGGTTTATATATTTATTTCTATTTAGCTTTCATTTAAATTGATTTGAGTTTTAGTCAACATTTAGTTCATGTTTTTAAATATCTGTTAATTTCTGTTTTCATTTTGGTATTTTAAGTTTGTTTTTCATCTAATATTTATATTTTATTTCATTTAAGCTTTAATTAACGATTTTAATAGTTCACTGTGGAATTTGTGTACAACTTCTGGTTAATTATTCCGATTTTTTGGTACATGTTTACCCAATACATTTACAGTGCCATTTCCAGAAATGGACTGAACTTGCATATTCAGACTCAAGCAATCTTCCTCACGAGGTTTATAGGCTCGTTATTTTTATGAAGCATTCAAATAATTTGTTAAATGTTGAGTCACAGTGTCCACATGCAGAAATCAAGCTGTTGTTCGCCTCTGTTGTGTTACTGGCATATGTGCTCTGGCGCACCTTGTACGATTGTTTTTATCTCTGCAATACTCCCATGGGAAATGCAAAAGTCAGTGTGGCATTAAATCTAATTAATGATTCTTCAGGCTTACCAGATGACATAACTATAATACTCCTGTTCCAACCTCTTTTGAAATGTTTAGTTGTTTCTGTAGGAGCTGATGTTTAATATTAGTATGTGGTCACAAGATGTCATTCTGTAAGATCTTGTCAGAAATAATGCTTTATGATTATGTGAGACTCAAACTGCAGGCTATTAACCTGTACAAACTCCCTGAGCAACATTTCACCATGGTCTAAGTCTTTAAAACTGTTTTTCTCATAGCCGGAAATTTGATACAGTGCCACGTAGTGAGATATCATGTGTCCTAATTAGATTTACAAACACAAAGTCTGCTTTCAATGAGGGATTAGATTTCAACTTAGGAATACTTCTATAAGTTTTGAATTACAAGCTCTTGAAATATGAATGAGTCTCCAGTTTGTATCAGTTGCACACCTTTTAGTAACCATGACAATCCAGTAGGAAGCTCTTGACTTTCTCTTCATCCCTCAAATGACACTTTTTGATCTTCAATAAAGCTTTTTTCAACAATGAAGTGGGATTTCTTCTTAGAATATTATTTTATCATTTACAAAGTTGAGGCTTGATAATATTGGTTTGATATTAGAAGACCTGGTCCCTGTTTGTGAGTATTTCCCAGGAACGCGAGTTATTTATCTATTTAGAGTATAATGTAAAAACCATGTAGAGATTTTTTTTGTTGCTTTTTTCAGGCCCATGTGATGTGTTTATTTATTTATTTATTTTTTAAGCAACGCGATTTGTGAACTGAGAACATAAAAAAAAAAAAATACTTATTACAATTTGGCATATACATTGGTATAGGCTATACATAATAGGCCTCTAATATTATACAATATAATAATTATAATATAATATAGCCTAAATTATAGTCATAATAATTCTTGTATAGCCTAACATTCTGCATTAGGCTACTCAACTTTTCTTGAAACCAAAGTGTTGACCATGTGTTAAGAGTTAAAAGTCAGGTTATTATGGTCATTAGATTGATAAATGCAGAGGCTGTGTTTCAAAAACCTAGTGAGTTGTCTACCTAGGCAGCATTTTGGGGCTTCAGGGTAATTCCTAAAGTTGCTTCTGCGCGAGTCTATGAGGTGCAAAATTGTTGCGCGCGCGCGCTCACAAAAGCTGTATAGATGTGTAGGTCCCTGTGTTTTGAGACACCGCCTGTGTCAACCAGTTACTGCTACTGTGTCACCACTGAGGTCGCTGTTATTCCTGTGGACTTCAGTCTGAAGCCGGGCACACTACTGAGAGGAAGGACAGCGGCTTTGGAAAAGGGAATATTTGACATCAAGGGAATCTGTCACCGCTAAACGGGACAGTCTGTCTCTTCTCTGTCCACAAACACAGCTGCTATTACCGGATTTACACATAATGTGAGTGACTTTAATCACTTTATTAATTTTGTGGCTTTTATTTAGAGCAGATATAGGTTTGTTGTTTGGTTTTAAGTTGTGTTTAATTGTTTTTCCATTAGCGAGCTAGCATGCTGCTAATGAATATGTCCATATTATTAGTCCGGTGGTTCGGCAGGTTAATTTCGCATGTCATTTAATTTAGTAACAAGCTAAATTATGTTTAAAACACGGGATTTTAATTGTGACTTTTGTATTGTAAGTTACGGACAGTTTACTGTTATTGCGCTTCATAAAGCGTCTTGTGTATCAGTTACATGCTTTATAGTTATATTTATTCATAGTTTTACTCGTGGTTGTTTTTCAGTGATATTATTTAGTTTTTCCACCGAGAGTTTTGCTTTGTTTTGATAAGTTAAGTGTGTGGCCAAAGTTTTCTAGAAAATTAGTAAGTTAAAGGCTTAACTTATGTCATGAAAACTCGACAAGTTGAATGTATTGTTAAAGAGTTTAAATTTTGTGTTCTGAAGTTGTGGAAATCATGGGCCAAGTTAACGTTATTTATCTGTGTTTCAATCAAATGAATGATGGATGCTTTGAACACTATTAGGTGACTGTAAACTGCGGTGTCTGCGCATGCGCAGCTGTCCTGGCTAACGGGAATGGTTCCACCTTTATAATCTCTCACGGGTCTTTCCACGAAATGTGTGTGAACTGACTTCAATGAAAAGCTTTTACTATGTGCTAATATAATGTATTTATTTGTGCAAAAGCACAAATAAATACAATATAACAAAGATACAAATTAATGTAATAAACAATGCTAGCCTAGGTCTAATAGTAGCCTAGTTTTCAGGTACAGAAATTTAATAAAGTAAGCAAATGTAAAATAACACTGCATATTATTCACTGTATTATTTAAAGATCCTTAATTAGTCCTTAATAAAGTCAAAAAAGTTATTCAGTCAGGAGCGGTGAGTGATTCTTTTTCTTCGTCTTTTGTTGTTTGATTAACATTAAAAACAGACAGCAGCAGGAATATTCGGCTGCTGTCACTAATCTTTTATACATATTTTAACAAAACTAATATAAATATATACATAATATATTGCAATAAAAGCTTGCATGGTCATTTTTAAATACATTTTTTTTATGATTTTGATTATTTTATATAAAATGTAGGCCTAACCTGTTTAATGGAATGACCCTGATAGGACAAAAACGCTCAATCACTCACAGCTGCCCTGTATTTCTATAAATGTCATCATACCTTTGTACAATGCAAAAATATCCAACCTTCCCTGCAGAGAACACATAATTATGGAAATTGTATTTTAACTAATCTTCAAAATAATGGCTTCCATAGCTAAATTAAACATAATCAGGATTTTAATGTGTGGAAATCATGTTACTTTTATCTGCCTACTGGAAGCTTGCTTACTACCTGATAACATTTGGCTTGATTTAATTATTATTATTTTTTTTTATAAAGTTTGTGCATATTTGAACACTCATTTGAATATTTATAACCCAGCAAAAACGCAGTAAAATGTTGCCTTTGGAAGTCCCAACGACACTGGCCTCTTTGCATCCTGTTGCGTCCTGTTTTCCATATCCTCGAGTCTGGGCTATAAAGAGAGCAAGAGCAGAGGAAGGAGGGGGTTTAAAAATGTGTGGTACAGGAAACTCACACAACCCTTTCACCCCGAACCATCTCCAATGACAACGTCTGTACTGCTGCCATCAGCATGCACGTAATTATGTGTAATTACTCATCTCTCTATGAACATCTCGCTGAAAAACTGTGCAACTTTAGATAGAGCGATGAGCCAAAAATGTGGGAAAAGAAATGTCTTTTGTCGACTATCACACTAACAGTTTTGTTGTTATTTTAGATCTGTTGATTTTTGTGGAAGAGACTGTTTCTCAGCCAGACGTAGTATGCCTTGAAATTTCCAAAGATATGAATTCATTATCAGTGGATATTTTATTTTATTTTATTTTATTTTATTTAAAAAAGGAGTTTTGCATGTTGTTGCATGGATCCACACTAGAAAGATTGCCACCAATATTTACGTGTTGCTAAGCAACTTTAGTGCCGAGGTCCTAAGTTCATTTTCTCTTTCATCTCCATATCATTTGATTCAATGTCTCAGGCCTTTTCAACAAAGCCTTCCTCTCTTTCACAAAATATAGAATTTTGCACAGAATAAAACTATGAAATGTTTTTATTGCATCCCTAATGCAATGTCATCATTGTTGTGACACATAATTATAAAGGTTTTATCAAAATTAAATGTGCCAGCATATTATGATTAATTGAATTTAATGTCATAACAGATATAAGAAATGATGATAAAGATTAAGTTAAAAGATCTGTAATATTTACTGGATGAATCTGGATTCAGGTTGCTCACAGTTCTTCCGGATAAATTGTACAGGTGTAGCTTATCAGATTTTTTTTTTCTTTGTACATGTTACTTCCTTTTCTGGAACCATTCTGTTTACATTATGATCTGATATAGCTAAAATGACTAACCGTGGGAACCATAATACTGTACATATAGCCTAGTTGCCTGCTCGTAATCCTATTTAAATCCCGGAAAATCCAAGTGAAGGGCATTGTGCCACATGAACTTTGGGCTCATCTTGTCTTTGAGTATGTTCAAATTTCCCTTTTCCATTGCATAGGTCATATTAGGGTCATATCTGATAAGCATGTTGGTGTTACTCTGTGTTATGTCATGATTTAGATGGATAAGAATGGATTTGTTGTAACAATGAGAAATCAACCTGATGAGATGGCAACATTAAAAATAATATATATATACACAGTCACACACACATACATACAATGTATGTATACATCTGGGATTACATGAATAGACTAAATCCAGAAGAACTGGCAACGTCTCCCTTTGCGTTTAAAACAGCTTTTGTCCTCGGTTACTTGCACAGTTTTTCAGGCAGTTTTGCTGGAAGGGGTCTTCAAGTGTGTTGGAGACGTTGCCACAGTTCTTCTGGATTTAGTCTTTCTCAGTTTTTTTCTGTTTCTTCATGTAATCTCAGGTGGATTTGATGATGGTGAGATGATCTCTGTGTGGAACATACTGGTTGTTGTCAGGCTCCTTGTGCATACAAAAATTGCCACATATTACAATTAATGGCAAAAGGAATGTTTGGAAATGTAAACTGATATTACTGGCACACTGCAGCAAAAGATATAAATAACTGGTGAACGTTTTCTTGGTTAAAACACCAATGTGCTTAAAGCTGCAGTCCGTAGTTTTTTTTGGGTTAAAAATTATCCAAAATAAATTTGAGAAAATACATAACCAGCCAGTGTTAAAAACTATCTGCTTGCCTTAGCTCGATTCAAAACGGTAAGCTTAGTTGTAATTAGGGATGCACCGAATCCAGATTTGTGGGGTTCGGCCGAATACCGAATCCACTGGTTAAGATTCTGCCGAATCCGAAACCGAATACCGAATCCTACTCTCATCCTCAGTCCATTAACACAGTAAACACATTAATGAAGTAAACAAAGTGGATTTTTCATTTTATTTTATTACTGTAAATAATAAACACTACTTTTACTTTTATAACTGTAAAAAAAAAAAAGAATAAGCAACATTATGCATTTTAACAGCGGCGCTGTTGTGTAGCCTATTGTTTAGAGTCCTTGCCACCATGAGACAAATCGGGATTGCAAATTGAACATGTAGCTCGACTTGAATTGCCTTCTTTTCACTGAAAGTACTGCCAAACAACACTTTTTCTGCTCACGAGTTCCATTTTTACTTTCTCACAGCCTACTGCATTCGAACGGTGCACCTACTGTAACGAGTGGAAATAAGGTGTAGCCCCTTTAAGAACTGCGCGCTCCTGTTGAACTGTCTGCAGTCCGTATTGTATGTGCCGTGCGCCTCGAACACATGCCCATGTATGCGGGTTATTTCTGTTTGATGCTCATTTTTACCTTATTTTGTTAAGTAACGCTGTGGAACGTAGAAAGTGTGACAGACAGTTACACAAGTTCGATTGTCGAATAAAGTGCGAGTTGTGAGATGCCAATCGCCTCCGTGAGTCTGTCTGGCCTCTGCAATAACTTTAGCTGTGAGCTATCCCTATTTTTCTTCCTGACACAACGCGTTACACGACTACAGGCTTGTTCGACTTGAACCGGCGCTGCACAGACAGATCAGTTTATGACATCAAAGTACCGCGAGAGCAATTCAAAAGCATAAGGAGCCGTCTGCTCTCTATTCGTTCACGCGGTACTTTGATGTCATTCACTGATCGGTGACTTCGACGTAGCGCGCGTAGTGCAAGCCTAGGGTTCGGTTCGGTGAAAAAAAATTCTGAGGTTCGGCAGAAACCGAACCCCGTTAAAAAGCCCAATATTCGGCCGAATCCGAATCCGAATCCTGGATTCGGTGCATCCCTAGTTGTAATAATGTTTTTAATTCCAGTGGTACTGGTGGATTTCTGCGGGAGATTCGAGCATGTCTTTGCGTCATTACGTCACATCTGTACACATAAAGGAGTCTCGGCTAGTTGGCTATATTGCGTGTGAGGATGCTGGAGGTGGAGATTTATAGCCTTTTCTCACAGCACTTAAAATAATTAAACTTATCAATTTGATTGCGGATCCAGAAAGTTTCAAACGACAATCACCAGTGACAACAGATTCACCCGATTCTACAGAAGAGACTGCAACCGGACCCATGCAAAAACAAGGATACATATCTGAAGGACATTACATGTACTCACGCAATGCTGACGTTGTTAACATTAACAATCTGAGAACAAAGTATAATTTGCACGGTTTTGTGTGATATGATATGCGATTGTTAGATTTAATCAGCGTGATTTACTGCAATGTCTAGAACCAGAACAAAATTGGATGTTACTTTGATGACATTTTCCGGTGAAAATTTTTATGTTGGTCATACTTCCAAAAAGTATAATCTGTGATTCTGAATGACAGTATCCACACTGGCACGGTGACTGACAGCCAC